AATGCAGTAGAACATAATGAGGTGACAGAATGTGATTTGTTATGTTAAATACTAGTTTTGTTAACAATTTTTATGAAATTGTCTTCAAAATCGTTGGTGTTTTTACTTTAAGATCATCACGATCATTCTGCGTAGGTATGTTTAACGCTAGAAAATCAGGTGCATATAACGTATTTTTAGAAATTGAATATGATTACAAAATTCTCTTGTTAATGATTTTTTTTAATTTTTAGAACAATTTTCAACCCGCAATCCCTTTTCCATACACGGTAAGAATGCCCTATAAATCGATTTATCAAATTTGTTTATTATACGAGTACTTGTTTGTATAAATGGGTCAAAACACCAATTATGAACGAACGATTATTTTGATCATGATTGTCAAAAGTATTTTGAGTTTATTTCTTGGCACCTGTTTTTTATCTTTTTTTCATAGTATCTTCGGCCATCAAAAAAAAAAAATTGTGAGTGTGAAGTGACACTCAATCGCACACACACACACAAATATACACACTTACACACACACTTACCCACTCACACACACACTTAAACATTTCAAATTGTGTCCTCCATAAAATCGCTCAGAATAACAAAAAAAAAAGGTAAAATTTTATAGAAAAGCCGAAAAACACTTATCTTATTTTTTACACATAATTATTTGAAGTAATTTAACTGTGGTAGTTTTTTTCGACTTTTCTATGAAATTTTACCTCGTCTTTTGTTTCTCTGGGCGTTTTTATGGAGAACTTAAAATGAAATTTACACATTTTCTTTAAAATTATCTCAGCTTTTAGAGAAATTCTAATTTGTATTGTCGTCCGAGATGAGTGACTGTGCCAAGTTTCAGCCCTCAACGACATCGGGAAGTGGGTTAAATTAATTTTGCAAGATTTGAAAAATACCCGTACAAACGTGCGTACGTGTTAGCGAGGTGATGAAAAGCATGTAAAAATAATATTTTTTTCAGAAAGCTGAGAGAAAAAAATATTCACAAACATTTTAAGAAAACTTTTTTCATCGTAACAGACATGCAGTGTAATTTTCAAAAAAATCGGAGGGATGTTACTCCAAACGGTCGTTCATATTTTGCCATTTTGACCCATATATTTTGATATGTATTATGATGCTAGTTTGTAACAAAATTATAATTGATCAATATGTTTTACATCGTTAACAAAAACTGCTAAAATCTGTACATTATGTGCCCCAACTCCCAGGAAAGAAATATCCAAAAACCTGATTTTGTTAAAATTTCAGCGTGACACTTCAGGCCATATTTTAATTTACAATATCTGTGGCTTTTGGGATGATTGTGTAACTCACCCTTCTCGCCCCTTATCTTTGGCATTTGTTTTCTTCTATGCGCTCAAACCTAACGCGTTCGGCCAAGGATTAAGGTGGCTGTTGTGAGTTGTCTTAGGGGAGCTGTATTGTAGGTGATTTAGTTTTCCCCGTTCAGGGAAACAATAAGGAGGGGTTAACTTTTAAATCGTTAATGGTAACTTGTACATTTAATTGGTTTTTAAGTTAAAGTATTTTGCTGAACATTTTTATTGATCGATAACCATTAGTGTATAATTACTTTCAAAGTTATTAAACTTTTACATTTAGGACAAAAGAAATTTTAGAGTGTAGTAATATTTTTATCTGCAAGCATTACTCTACCGCACTCCACCTCTCATCCTAAATTTTAATCTCTAATAATTTTAAAAGTAGTGACTCTAAACTGATTATTGACAAGTCAACTTTTTTTTGAAAAATATTCTTAATTTAAATAACTAATTAAATGTATACGTTAACATTAAAATACAAAGGTTACCCCACCGAAATAAGGATTTTGAATGAACAAAAATATAAACTATTTAAATTATTATCCTGTGATATAAACAAAAAATATAATTTACTTAGGTCACTTTTTTTTCTTTTACTATACCATCAAAAGAATAGGTGATCCATAAAGTTCTTAATATCCTGCACATGAATATTTAAATAACTAATATACACTAGGTTCAATTAAAATAATGTTAATTTCATTTTTAGAACATTCCGGTTAGTGCAGTTTTTGGCCCAACGACTAATCAACCTAATGAGGTGAGAAATTTAAAATAGTATCTATTGTTGTCTGAATTCTGAATTAAAAATAATTTTATTTTTAAATTTAGTATTCTTTTTACTTTTGTACTAATTAACGTAGTCCTAAGAATCATTTAAAACAACATTTTGAAGTAATGAAATGACGAATGAACTATGTTACTGATGTACTATTATTTAATTTTTAGATACCAATTAATGACCAAAAAGATATGGACAAAGATTTTTTCAGCGAATTTAATCAATTTAATGACGCAAAGTTGGGACTCAAAAACGTTGGAAAAAAGGCATGAAAGTTGAAAAAGAAAATGAAGCGGTAGATTGACTAATAAGGAAATTCTAGTACATAACGTTGCAAAAAAAAAAAAAAATACAAAACGGTGTTCATTTAAAATTTAAATAACTTCTTTGGTAAAAATCATAGAGGGACAAAGAAACTTTGAGCAATCTGTATCAAGGAAAAAAAATAAGTGAAAAAATAAAAAAGTTCAATAAACTAGAATAAATAAAAAGTAGTTTACCCTCTGAATGAATAAAATAATTAAGTTTTAATAAATCTTGTATAAACTTTAGTTTTTAGCTAAATATGCTCCACTTTATATTCTATGTTATTTAGAATTATTTTACAAATGTATGAACTAAAATATAACTATTTTAAAAAATATGTTATTAAAAGTTTTTTAACGTTTCCAATAAGAAATTGAAAAAAAAAATTTCAGGAATGAAAAATCCATAATTTATTGTTAAGTTTAATTCATTTTAGGATTATAAACGTTACCAAGCATAAACTGAAATTAATTGTTAAGACTACAAAAAAAGTTGGTTAAAGTAATTATTAGTACGATACTCTGATAGCTCTACAGATATTGAACTAATAAAAATAAAAATAAAAGTCAATTAATACATTTTGAAGTCAACCATATAAAATATTTCTGGAATAATACGATTATATCGTTCTAAAGTGCAAAAATGTTTTTAATTATCAATTTTTAATTTTTAAAAGTCCGAACTCAGTAAAGGTATAAGAATATATGCTATTTGTAGTTTCCAATACATGAGCCGGTGAGATTGAAAGTGACGTAAGTCAAATTTTTTAAAAATCCGCAATATCGCTAGGGCATATTAGTACACTCTAAAAGAGTCATTTAGTCAATGGAGTAAGTTAAGTAAGACAAGTTGAGCCTTTGTTCGCGAGAGAGTGCCACTTAAATTTCGTTGGTTTATACAAAGTTACAGAAATACAAAACGTAAACCTTCTATTTCTCAAAACAACTTTAATGTCACTTACGCCACTTTCATTTTCGCCGGCTCATATATAATAAGTTGTTGTTAGAAAAAATACTGTAAATTTGGCTGTCCCAAAATCTCTGTAATTTATCTTAACAATATTTATATTGTGCTATAGTGATATATTTACTTATAGGAAGAAGAGTTGGGTTAAATCATCATTAGTCAAGCAAAAATATGGATGCCATAAGGTAATTTTTTAAATAAATAACCAGATTCTTGTATTTAATTTTTAGTTGTATTATGTTTTTTACACTGGCATCAATAAAACGAATTATCGTTTCTAGTACAATTCTAAGAAACAATACTTTATCAATAATGTTAAAAATATTACAGTTTTGAGGCGCTTTATAAAAATATTATTCGAAAGTTTTAAATTTTATTCTTATGACGATTTGTTGTGTGTGATTATATGAGTAATTAATAAATCGTATTTGTTGTTACAGGTGTTGAAAAAAGAACAGAAAATAGATTTTTGAACGATTAATTAAATGATTTTAGAATTTTATTGTTCGTTGATTCTATATTAAAATATATAAAAGTTATAACTAAACCATTTAGATTTCAATGATTTTAAAGTTTTGGTTTTGGTATTTTACAGTCTTATAATATCCAATCTTATAATTAAACACCGGCTAAATCTTTTATAAAAAATTAAGAGCAGTTACTAACTTTGCTAAATTTGCAATTTTTTCAAAATTAAAACCAAATTTTGAACATAAAAAGAGCTAAAAACAACAAAATCTGCTTTCTACATAATTTAGTAAAGTTGCCAAACAACTCGTATGTATTTACAGAATTGAAATTGGACCATCTTAAGTAATCGAAATGTTGTCTGGCTTTTTGGTCTAAATGTAAAAATAAAACAGACCCCATGCAATTCCCTTAATATATTAAATTTAAAAAAATACTGTTTTATTTATATTAAATTTCACAATTAATTTATTTACTAAATATATAGGTATAATTCATTACATTTTTTTTTTTAATTTGATAATTATTTTTTTTTACTTAACTGATATACAATTTTATTAAGAAGATATTAATCAATAAATAATCATTAATACGGGATTTTCATTCATATGATTTTGGAAAAGATGCAACGCCGATGCCTATCTTCAACTGGAGCTTGACATAATAACGGTAACCTGCGCTTCGTATCGAGATCAGACTAAGTCAGTAGGAGTGTTAGACATAGTTGTGTGTAGAAGTTAAGAGTGTCATAAGGAAATAAAATCAATACTTTTTAGCTTTGTATCGAGGCCCAAAAGCCAATTATAATTACGTTGTAAATTACCACGTATAACTTAAATGTTTAAAATATCCTGAAAACGCCGTAAATATGATTAATAAATGTGTAATTGAGTAAAATGTAAACCCACCTGAACATTTTTGATTTTTAAATCTGCGTGAACATATTATTGTGCTAGAATATTTTTTATTGATTTAACAAAACACACACATACATACTGTACAGTGCTGTTTGTGCGTTTCTCGAACACATATTACAATGACATTAAATTGTTTTTTTAAACTTAATGTATTTTGTTTATTTTTTTTTTTTATTTCTAGTTATTTCATAGTTGATTTTAATTTTACAGCTAGAGGTTGTATACGTTTTATAATATCATACAAATTTGTTCTATACATTTTAAGAGGATTATGCATTCAAAAAGTATTATATTCCTAATATGTTTTCTAAATTTCACGACGCAAACAATAGCTGGAAGAACGTCAAGATTCTTTCATTTACCTTTATCTTGTTTCAAGGGTGGATCTACCATGGTAATTACATTGGAGTGCTTTGCTTTTGCAAGTTAATTATTTTGAAAAATAATTTTAACGAGCTACAATTTTTTATTCTTAAATCTGCGTGAACGCATATTATTGTACAAGAATATTTTTTATTGATTTAACAAAACACACACTTGTAAATTAGACTGTGTTGTCTGTTCGATTTTCAAACTCATGATGCAATGGAAGAGTAAATAGTGTTTATTTAATTTTATATATTATTTTTCTACGTTTGATTGATTTCCAAAGGAAAAATATCAGCGTTTTAAAAAATATAGGTTTTGAGCATAGTTGTTTTTAATTTTACAGCTAGTAGTTGTATAAGTTTTATAATATTATACAAATTTGTTCTATACATTTTAGAGGATTATGCATACAAAAAGTATTATATTCCTAATATATTTTCTAAATTTCACGATGCAAACAATAGCAGTAAAAAAGTCAAAATACTTAAGTTTACCTAATTTATCAGGTTGTTTCACTGGTAGAAATACAAAGGTAATTACTTTGAAAATGCTTTGCTTTCGCAAGTTAATTATTTTATAAATTTGTATACTATATAATACTATATAAAATATTAATATTAAATAATATATAAGTTTTATAGTATATATGAGTCACTGTATATTAAAGATATTAATAACACAATTGGTTGAATTTTAAACAAAACACAATATTATATTATGTGGTTAGTAGGTCGATATAATTCTTAGTAAGCGAATTAAGTAAGTAATTCTTATAAACCCATAAACATTAAATAGGTAATATATAAGAGTTATTGTATATCAAAGGTGTTAATAGCATAATATTACGTCTCACTAAAAAAGAATAGTAAAAAAGGCCACGTGTTATGCTATACAGACTTCATGTAGAACTGCATGAATATCGTATGAACTCTACGTAGGTTAAACAACATTTTTTCACTGAAATTGAAATTTTAAAATACCATGTTCTTTTTTTAATAATTCATGAAATCATACTTTTAATTATTATTCCAGGGTGACGTTGATCGTACAGCTTATACACCCGAGAAGAAAAGTAGCGAAATAAAATATTCTGCAAATAAAATAGATAAACCGGTAAATAGTCTCTAAATAATTAAGCTGTTGGAAATGTAATTTGTATTATATTTTATACATGGCTTTTTACATTACCTATTAGTATATCAGTAACATAATACGATTATAGTTTTGAAATGTATTATGCAAAAGGGTTATATTGCATATGTATAAAATTACGATATATTTAAATATTTTGTACTATTAAACAGTGGTTTAATTAACAGAAGATTTATTACTCTTCAAGTTCCCTCGTCTAGAATTTTGTAATTTTACATATATTATATTAAAATGATTTGTCTAAAACAAATGTTTAAAAAAAATACATACATCTTTTTGATAATATTGAAAGTACTAAGAAACTAAAATTTTATAGATTATTTAATTAAATGAATCGTGGGTATTGTTGATTGAGCATCAAATTAAGTTACCTTAAATTTGGTTAATAATAGGTATATAGTCTATAATACTATAAAGTGTTTTTTTATCAACAATATTATACAACCAATTTTTTGTAGACAACAACTTAATTGTCAGTTGAAATTTTAAATTAAATACTATATTTTCATAATTTTGAGGTTTTCAAAAAAAAAAAACCTTTAAATAAATTAAATACAGATGTTTTTCATGTTTAACATCTGTTTTAAACCATACCAAGTAGAGGCCCAGAAGGTTTATTTTATTAGATTTAGCAGTTTTTTTGGGTTTACAGCTAGCCACCGACCTAATAAGTTAGCATCCAAGAGAGTCCCCGCCTGTAGTCAAGATTCGAACTGGCGATTATGCGTTATTAGTTATTAGCTTTATCCGCCTTATCTCGCTCAGCCATGCAATTGTCAAAATTAAATACAGAACACTATTTCCATTTTAGTATTACTCGAGGTTTATTTATTTATGAATATAGAATCCAAGAAGTATCCAACTTTCGTATCCAAAGATTCCAAACGAAGATCCAAAAGAAATAGCATCTTTAAAGGTAATTCATAAATGTAATTTTATTTATTCAAAAGTAATAATATTAGTATATAGTAATGTATTAAATAAGTCAACGTTAGGGTGCAGTGGTATAAAATACATTATTGTAACAACATATTGTAACAACCTTGTATAATAATATAACATCCACTTATCAGAGCCAGTACCGGCCCGTTGCATTTTGGGGTGCCAAAATTTTACAATTTTTGTTGGCTAATGAGCTCTGATTCAAGTTTGCGTAAAGCAACAATACGACTTGTCCTATATATATTATGCTTCATAACCTACACCAAGATTGTTTACATAACCCTAATAATATATGTAAAATTATATTTATTAAATAATTGTACTATGTAAATATTAAATGTATACACTCATGTTTTAGACTGCAGAAGACTTTAAAAATTATGCGGATTTAAAAGTATGATTATTGCTTAGTTAAATAATAAAATATTAGAAAATACCCTTTCAAAAAAAAAAAAAAGATATATTATATAAATATGATTCACTTTTCACTCTCTCAATATGTTGTGATTGCTGATGACGATATCATGAAGTATAATAAGAGCGACTATGTTGTATAGTTTGGAGTGTACTTAAATAGAAAAATAGAAAATAGAGTGAGTGTAGCGGAGAAGAGAATGCTAAGGTGATGATTGAAGTAGCCAGAGAAGATAGGTGTTTATTAAATAAATTAAAAAACAGTAGACTGTATACGAATCATACAGTATTCTTAGCTTGAAACATACTTTAGCCTTGGCCCCCAGCCCGAAAATGACTCTTAATTGCGATACTAAAGTATAAATCATAAATCGCAAGGAGATTTTAGATCAGACATAATCACCATACAGAAGCCAGAAGGCTAAAGCCTATGTTTCATGTTTTATCATTTTAGCCGTTAGGCTTTAGTAGACTGTAACTTTTTATTATTAATTTTAATTTATTCATTAAAATCCTGTAATCTATAATCAAATATAATATAATCCCGTAAATCTATAGTCAAAGAGGAAAGGTGAGTTACTGTTTAAAGTACTTATGTAGTTCACCCTTTTTCCAAACAGTGATTTAAAAAGTTATAACTCAACAAGTTAAATTTCGAGACTGGCTATCTGCCAGTGATAATTTGTATTACATCATCTCGCTTTTAACATTATATTATATAATTTGCTATTCTACCTTAATAAGTATTATAACATAAACAATAAACAAAAATTATATTATTATAATTAATAATATAATAATATGTCTCATTTAAAATTGTCATATTATGATTAAAATGGTTTTTAAAAATTCAGGCATCATTTTCAAAAGTTAATATTAGTGGTGCCAGACGAAAAGTAAACATTACGTGTACATATAAAACAGCAACCGATGTAAATGAACAATATATGAATACGGCAGATTTATCAACAGATAGTACGCCAAAAAAAGACTCTGAGAAATTGGATCAGGTATGAATTAAGAAATTGATTATTTTAAAATAAAATTTACCTAATATTTTATAAAAATGTTTTGCAAAATTTTAATTTAAAGGTTAAACTGTGGTTTGGAATTGTTAGTTCAGTATTTAGTACTCTTTTTGTAGTTAATTTATCTTCAAAAGCGATGTAGAAAAAAAATCATCTAAATACAGCTACGCATATTCTCTATTATCGGTTAAATAATAATCGCAGACTTTTTTTTTTACATGTTTGAAATAAGGACAACTTTATTTAGGTTCTCTCGTCGGTTTTCTCATATTATTTACCAAAAATTCACAATTTATATTTTTATTCTGTAATTTTTTATTTAATTAAGTGCTTGTATTTAAGTTATAATTTAAGTGTTTTAAAACAAATTTAAGTTAAAGGTCTTCTCTTTTTTGCGGTATTAAAGTTTGTTTATAGTCATTTCGCTTTGAACTAAATACTTCTCCATAAACACATTTTATCGATTATAATATTACAAAATTGGTGGTTTTAAAGGATGAGTTAACAAATTGTCACATAGCCTAAAACCCTATTCGGACGTCATAGATTAATATTTAATATCATTAAAACTCGTATCGTAATCGGTGTAGCCATTCCTCTGTGATAGTAGAATGTACGCATGTACTCAGAAGCTCAATTTTATGTATAATATGTAAACTTTGAATCTGAGTATTCTTAAATCAAAGTAGTAGACTTGTACTACATTTCCACAGAACTTCTCGATAGTTAATTAAGGAATGAAATTGGCAATTTATACAGACGATACATAAATAAAATGGTGACATAAGGTGGTTTTCTTATGCTATATGTGTATATTGAAATAATTTTTTAATTCAATATGCCTAATACTATTTATGGAGGTGTGTACAATTTTTTTAGCACACATTTTAATATCAAAATATAATGATTTCAAACCAATTGTTACAGTAAGGTGAAATGATAAAAATATACTGGTTTAATTTTTACTTTAACAATAACAAAATAGTTGTAACTCTAGGGATAGATCCGATACCTCTAACCTTTCCCATTTACACGTGACACACAGGTTGGCTCCATTAGTGTATGTAAAAAACGAGTATAGTTATTTAAATTACGTTATACAACAAAAAAGAAAGTTGTGGTTACTTATACGCTAAAGAGGTTCCTGCTATTTACTACTAATTAGTCAAAAATAATTCAGCGATTTAATTATACTATTTTACAGGGAATATCAAATACAGATTTGATAGATCTAAATAATGATGATTTCATTTCGGATGGAAATACAAATAAGGTAATACTAAATTGTATTTTAAATAATAAATAATGATACTGATATTTTTATTTATTTTTTGATAAATCATTGAATTTTACATTCTAAGAACTAGTTTATTTGTGCGATAAAGTAAGATGCATAAAAACACAACAGTAGAATCACATTTTTTTTTAAGACTATTTACAATCAATGCTACAAGGCATAATAAACAACTAGTAACACTAAAATATTTTTTTTACCTAACCAGAAAATAAATCTAGCTTACTTATTATTTACCATTCTTTTTTTGACACACGTAACCTTGCAATGACAGTATGGCTCATTTAAATGTTGCTTCACTATAAGATTATTCTTTTCTTCCTACTCTATTTGTATCAGTATTTATTTCAATTGATAAAACATGATCATAACAAAACTTTAAAGTACAATAGTTAATATGTAGTTAATTTTGGAAAATATAACGTCCAAATACAATTTGTTCACGAGACTATAGCCTTGCTTAAGTGTGGAGTATTCTATTTTTGTACAATATCTTAAAATAATTTCTTAAAATTTTAATATTTCATATGTTTTAATAGAATTAAAATGAATTATTTTACACATGTTTTAGGGTACTAGTGTTTTAGATGTAATGGTTAAAACTGATAAGGTAAAGTATTTTTATAACATTTTTATCTTCAACCGCTAATTGTAATTTAGAATTAAGTAATAAAATGTCCAATGATTTTTTTTTGTCATGTATTGCTCTATGAAAACTGATATTATTATAATAACTATTGTATTATAATTTAATGTATTTTTTAAATATACTTTCAGATGTCTGATCTTGCCCCCGCAGTAGTCCCCAGAGAACCACTCCCGGTAAGACGATATGTCCTTAACGATATGAGATTTTATTTAATTTTGGCTAAAACGTATAATATATCAACATTCTACTATTTTAACGAGTGATGGGAATTCGAAAGTCCGGATGTTTAAAAAGACGCTATTTAAGTCTCTTAAAAAAGCTATAAGATAATTACAGTGTAAAACTGTGTACCTATGCAAAATGTTCTGATAAAAATTTAAAAAAGAAAACTCTTACTTCGACTATAAGTTGCTTTCGATTTTAGATTTTCGGGCTTCAAAAAATTTAGAATATTTTCCTAATTACAGGATAATTGGATTGAACAAACTGTAACAACTAAGAGGTACAATCCTTTTGAGTATGATGATGGTGAACCCAACAGTAAAGTGGTACAGCAAGTAAGATCATTTAATTAAATTGAACAACTATTTAAAATGTAATAGATAATGTATTGTATGTAATGTATTAGATAATAGGCGGAAGGAGAGGTGGAGTGTAACAATACGCTATATTATTATAAATTGATTTGCTTTCAAGTTGACGATAATTGTTTAAAATCGATTAATGACATTCTATTATTTTTTTTAGAACTTTATATTATGATTTATGTTCAACATGTAGGTTGTCATGTCGGTAGAAACGATCGCTTGTTTCCATATATTTTTGTTTCATATTTGAAACCAAGAAACCTAAAATATTATAAACCTACTTTAGGTTAACAAAATAAAATTATTGCATTGCAGTTAATTTAAATTATTTTAATGTTTTGATTTCGGTATTTTACAATTATTATTATGGGTTTATATTTATGTTATTAAACTATATATTGTATATATATTAATATAGTACAAATTATAAGTTCACTATATAATAATAATGTTTAAAAATATTTTCCTAATTACAGGATAATTGGATTGAACAAACTATAACAACCAAGAGATACAATCCTTTTGATTATGATGATGGTGAACCGAACAGTCAAGCGGTACAGCAAGAAAGACCATTTAATTAAATTGAACAATTATTTTAAATATAATGTAAAATATCTTAAAGAATAGGCGGAAGGATAGGTGGAGTGTAACAATACGATATTTTATTTTAAATTGCTTTAAATAATTTGCTTTTGATAATTTCTCAAAATCGATTAATGACATTCCAAAGTTTTTATTAGAACTTATTATTATTATCATTTATGTTAAACATATAGGTTGTCATTTAAAAATGACTGCCTGTTTCCATATATTTTTGTTTCATATTTGAAATGAAGAATATCTCTGCTTTAGATTTATAAAATAAAATTATTGCACCATATACATTGTAGTATATTTGTAGTTTTATGTTTCAGGCTACTATTCCTTATCAGCTTCAACCTCAAAGCAATATGAATCCGATGCCCAAACTATAGTAGTAGTAATAAAATGGTAAGACGAGAAGGTTATTTTTTGTTTAAAACACACGTTAAAACCATGTACGTTAAAAGTGTCAAATACAGTAGTATAGAGTATAGTCGCAGGAAGGAAGGGGCCTCTCACTCATTTTGAAGTCAACCATATACATATAATGTTTCTGGAATAATATCATTATAACTTCTAAAACGCATACAATTCAATTGACATTTTTTATTTTATAAAAGTTCGAACTCAGTGAAGCTATAAGAATATATGTTATTTATAGTTTTCAATCAAGTTATTGTTATAAAAAATAATGTAAATTTTAGCAGTCTCAATATTCCTGTAATTAATACCTTATCGATATTTTCATTGTAATATAGTGATATAGTTCTAGTTTAGTTCTAGATATTTAGTTCTAGTTTACTTTAGTTACTTATAGAAAGAATAGTTGGTTAAAATCATCATTAATGATGCAAAAATATGATGAAAGCCAAAAAGTAATTTTTTAAGAAAAATCCAGATTATTGTATTTAATTTTTCATTATACATTTTTTTATACACTGACATCAATAATAATACGAAGTACCGTTTCTAGTAAAATTCTGAAAAACAATACTTTATTAAAAAATTAAACAACATTACAATTCTGAGGTGCTTTTTAAAAAAAAAGTATTATTCAAAAGCGTTGAATTTTATTCTCAATGTCATCACAATTTGTTATGTCCGAATATTTGAGTAATTGATAAATCTTATTTGCTGTTACAGGTGTTGAAAAAATAATAGAAAATAGATAAAATTCGTTGTTCATTAATTCTGTATTGCTATTATATAAAAGTAATAATTATAAAATTAAAATTAAAATTATTTTAATGTTTTGATTTCGGTATTTTACAAATATTATTATGGGTTTATATTTATGTTTAATATATAGTACTAACTATAATTTTTTTTGGTGAATTATAATTTAATAAATGGTATATAATTGAATTGACATTGTTTTGTAATCCTTATTTTAACAGTTCATATTATACAAGTATCGATTTCCTCCAAGAGAATCCTAAATCTATATCGATCACAAATCGTATGCGATTGGTACTTGAGAAAACAAATGTTTAAAAGGTTAATTTATTTAGGCCCGAATTTATCGATGTGATTTTTGTTATGAGGCTATTGAAAATAATAAAGTTTTAAAACAATTTTACTGTAGTTACAACTAGGGACGATTTAGTAGACTGCATAAAAACTGTATCAAAAGCAATTATTGTAGTTCACTAATCCTGTAGTATATATCCAACAGATATGAAAAAAATAAAACCCTATGATACAGATAAAGTTAATTAAATAAGAGTTATTTTCTTAATAATGGGTTGATTATTAGATTTAGATTTTGAAACTTTCTTAAATTAAATCTAGGTAATTTTTCCCCTCTCCCCCGTTTTGATTCGAGATTACTATTAGGGAGGATAGTTGTCGCCTAGATATTTCTTTTTCGATCATTTGTTTTAAAGATATTAAAGTGTGAAACTTATGACGGAAAGAAGGGTGGTTTATTTAGTTTTTTTTATTTTTGTGTGCATTACTCAACCGCACTCAAAATCTCGTTTCAACTTTTAAGACTTAAAAATAAATTGTCCAAAACTGTTTATCGATAAGTCAACATTTTCAGCAAATTTATCTAATTATAATTAAAATAAAAAATTTAATATTTTTTTTAAATATTTAATTATTTATTTAAATTGAATTTAAATTAGACTTAAATGGTATTGTGTATTTTTTAGTTAATAATTTAGTACTATATTTAAAATTCCTATAAACTTTAGAACACTACCACTAAATGATAAAAAAAATTTAATTAGAAATACGTGCAAGTATATCCCACTCCGATCTTCACTTGTGCTCTATTTTCACCAACTAATTTTCGACATAAATGAACATTCATAACATCATAACTAGAGATGATATTATCTAGTTTATTTAAGATACTTACCACTTTGCGTTCTACCCGTTTACAGCCAACGTTGGGCCTACGTAACATATATTTAAATATATTTTTTTAAATAAGATAATTATTTTTTTTTAACTCAACTGCTATACAATTTAACTAAGAAGATAAGAAGAAGATAACAATCAATAAATAATCATAAAAACGGATTTTCATTTTAATGATGATTACTATGCGTCTTTTAAGTATGAACATTTTGTAGAAAATCCAACGCCGATGTCTGTCTTCAACTCGAACTGGACATGAAGGCAGCCCGCAAGGCTGAGTCAAGAGGAGTGTTATAAATGAATGTGTGTAGAGATTAAGAGTGTCAATAGGAAATAAAACTAATACTTTTTAGCTTTGCGTCGAGGCTCAACACCTAAGTATAATTATATTGTAATGGACTATGTATAAAATATTTAAATTGCTCTCATATAGATTTATTTCATAATGAATTACATAGCTAGTTTGTTAATTAATAAAAAAAAAGAAAATTCCGTAAATTATATTAATAAATGTATAACTGAGTAAAATGTCAAGAGCTTTTTAAACGGGATGCATACGCCTACAAACATTTTTATTCTTTAAATCTGCGTGAATATGTTTTTGTGCGAGAATAATTTGTATTGTTTTAAGAAAAAACACACATGAAAACTATACAGTGCTGTTTGTTCGATTCTCAAACACATGATGTAATAACATTAAATTGTTTTTATTAAACTTAATGTATTTTGTCTATGTTTTTTTTTTATTTCTAAAGGTAAAAGAGCAGCTTTGTACAAAATATGTTTTTTGAGCATAGTTGATTTAAATTTTACAGCCAGAGGTTGTATACGTCTTATAATACCACACACATTTGTTCTATACATTTTAGAGGATGATGCATTTCAAAAGTGTTATATTCCTAATATGTTTTCTAAATTTCACGATACAAACAATAGCAGGGTCAGGACTACTTGGTTGTTTCAATAGCAGCGCTACTCTGGTAATTACATTTAAAATGTTTTGTTTTTGCAAGTTAATTATTTTCAATAACTAATTAAATATTTATAGCCATTAGCGAAATTATAAGTTACTTTAGGGGTGTGCTAAGAACACTAAGAACAAATGTAATAAGTGCTCTAAACAAAATGTCCTTTTTTATGACAACACATGAATATAATTTACTAAAGATTGTTGGCCCTTAAGTATTAAAGCCTTTATATTTAAATTTGTATATTATATAATACTCTTATCATTTAATAATATAAAATAAGTTTATAATATTTAGGAGCTATTGTATATTATAGGTTTTAATAACACAATATTACGTCTCATTAAAAAGCCAAACCGACTCTAAGTAGAACTATTTGTTATGAAACAATATTTTTTACTGAAATTGACATTATAAAATGCCATGTTATCTTTTTGATAATTACTGAAATCATATTTTTAATTATTATTCCAGGGTGACGACGATGATCCTGTAACGTCTAGACCTCAGAAGAGAAATATAATACCACACGCTGAAAAAAAAAAAGAACTGGTAAATAGTCTTATACAATAAAAGCTGTTGGAAAAGCAATTTATATTATATTTTATACATGACTTTTTACATTACTTACTAGTATTACAGTAACATAAGATAACATTTTTTGCTATGGGTAATCCATTTAATGGTTATAATGCATATGTATAATAGTATGAATTAATTTAATATGTAGTCAGAAAGCCAAATTGAAAAGAAGATTTATTATTGTTCAAGTTTGCTCGCCTGGAGTTTTTTATTTGTCTATTTAGTGTATATTTACGACTTTTCAAAAGTTATAACTGCAGTTTCGTAAGATGTATAATATAAATATTAAAATATTAAAACGATTTTTAGTAAATGAGTAGTAGGTATTTTTGATTGAAAATCGAATGAGGGCAACTTAAATTTAGTTAATGTTGGGTATGGTCTAAAATAATATAAATGTAGTTGCTTGTCAATAATATTATACTACCCTTCGTATGGGCGCCTTTGGTTATGGATAACATCGAAGCGTTTCCTTGTGAGACATTTTATCAATAGACGGTCTCCTCTTTGCTAGTTTTATATTTTCTAGTTGTACTTTGGCGCACGTTCTGTAGTAAACGCAAAATTTGAATAATTTAAGTTATCAACACATTTTTAGCTTAGGTATCTAATAATTTTGTTTAACTGACAAAACGCATTTCTATAAAATATCTGAAGTTCTTTAACAGCAATAGTATTAATGATTTATAACTGAATATATGTTTAAATATTTATAGAGTTTCGTACCTGAGTTGCCAAAGATTCCACAAGAAGATGAAACAGCTAAACAAAATCGAAAGGTAAATTATAAACAACAATACAACCTGTACTATGTATGCTTCAATCAAAATCTACGCCAAAACTGTTTACTTAACCCTAAATATATATGTATATAGCATTATATTTATGAAGTAATTGTACTGTGTAAATAGTAAATGTATTAAACTTATGTTTAAGGCTGAATATTACTATCAAAGTTATAAGGCTTTAAAGGTAAGATAATATTGCTTAGTTAAATAATAAAATATTAAAAAATACCCTTTCACAAAAAAAAATATATGATTTACTTTTTACTCTCTTAATCTGTTGTGATCGCTGATGATGATAGCATTGCTATAGTTTATAATATAATATAAACAGGGTGATTAATTTAACATAAGAGACTCTCCAAGTGCGGAAAGAAGCGTTCGGGGATTTATGTAACAAGAAAGTTCAAATGAAACTTAAAGATAAGTTCTACTAGAGTGGAGGGAGACCGACTATGTTGTATAGTTTTGGAGTGTTGGGTAGTAAATAGAAAATTGAACAGAGAGTGAGTGTAGTAGAGATGAGAATACTTAGGTGACGATTGAAGTGACCAGAAAGGATAAGATAAGGAAAACATACGTAAGAAGTAGCCTATAGGTGTGGCTTTGACAGCAGTCAAAATGAGAGAAAATAGACTGAGATGGTTTGGGCATATTTTGAGGAGAGAGGAATCGGAAGCAGTAAGAATTTCGATGAAAACAAACTCAGGAGGAGAAAGAAAAAGTGGGGAAGAGGATGACCGAAAAAAGTGGTTGAATGCGATAGAGAATGATAATTATTAGTTTAATAATATATAAACAAGAGCTGAAATATAACGGATTAGTTTTCCGGATATGTATATCTTTATATGTATATTTATCAGAGTAAGATGTCTTATAACTCGTATAAGTATAAACAAAAATTATACTAAATGTCTTATATTATTTTCGTCTTAATTTGATAGTTTTAAAAGATATTGTTGTCTTTACTAAAAACTGTTCTAACTCGTCTAGATTACTGAAACAATTAGACTGAATTTAACTTTAACTCTAACTCAATTAGACTAACTTTAACTGATATTATTAAATAGCTATTTTTATAATTTATCTGTTTATAAAAAATAAAATGATTTTAAGCTTATATTATTTCTTATACAGGTACACGTTTTTAATATTACATTTTTTTTGTCATTAAATAATTATTTAAAAATTACAAAAACATTGTTTAAGTAAAAGTGTTATTATACTGAATGAACAAAAGTAGTTCTAGTGAGTAAATTTTAATATTTCCAAAGGCATTTTATAAATTTGATTTATGTATGTTATGTAGAATGATGCAATGAAAATAATGACTGATTGATAAGTAGTATTAGATAAAATACTTCTTGGTTTATACATTGATTTGTACAGTTCACCCTTTTTTTCTAATAGTAACTTAAAATGTTAATAACTAAACAAGTAATTATTTGAAACCGGCTATCGATCAGTGATAATTTTCATTATATCATCAGGCATTTAACAGGTAAATTAAATTTTATATAAGTTGCTATTCTACTTTAAAGAGTGTTATAATGTAAACCATAAACAAAACAAATATTATTATCAATAATAATATTGTAATATGTTGCCTTTAAAATTGTCTTGTTTTAAAATTATAATATCATATTATGTTATACATTTTTTGTTAAATTAAGGAATCATTTTCACAACAAAAAATTATCAATGCAGAAGTAAAAATTTGGTGCACATATACAAAAACAACTGATATACATGCAGAATATATTACGAATACGCCAGACTTATTAACAGATGGTATGCCAGATGTATTAGCAGATAATGGTACGCTACCAAATGACCTTGTGCAATTGGATCAGGTATACAATAAGAAATGCATTATTTTGAAATAAGATTTAGCCTATATTTTTATATTAATTTTTGATCGAATAACGAATAAGATACATTTATCTTTATGTTGTAATTTATTTTTACATATATCATGTTAGATAACATGTTATTAATTAGTTTATGTTTATAAACGCCATATAACCTAACCTAACGCGCATGTAAACTTTTAATCTGTACAAACGATAAGTAGTACACTTAAACTGAATTACAAAATTGCCAACGTTAGATTCCACAGAACTTCTCAATAATTAATGAAGTCATTACATTTGTTATCTATACCTACTGGTTATTGCAAATACACTTAACGTTGATAACTCACAATCAGAAGATGCACAACAAAAATGGCGGCATAGGGTGGTTTTATTACACTAAATTTATATTAAAAAAAAAAAAAAATTAAAATTCGAATTTACCTAATACTATTGAGAAGGGATGTTAAATTGTTTTAACTAGTCTGTGGAATTCTTGTAACTGTTTACTAATAAGTCAGACAGTGCACAAATAAAATATATTTTATTGAATATCCTTTATGACTATACTTCTAAACTAAAATGTATTTATTTTCCCGCAAAAATTGTATCAAAATATAAAGCTTTCAAACTAATTATATGACGGTCTAAGATATTTTCTTGGTTAATGGTTCGATTAGACGGTTATAGAACAGATAGTGTATAGTTCTATAACTAAGCTGCGAAAATCCTACAAAGGAAAGGAACTTACGATAAATCCTTTTTTACAAAAACCTTAGTATCATATATAAGCATCTTTATTACAAATAATTATATAAAAATAGTTTATATATATATTATATTCTCGGTCTGGCATGGCACCTAAAGCGCTTTGGATTCTTAGGCTCTGAAGACTTAACAGTTGAAATACTAACGCACTATAAACACGTGTTTGGTGTCCTCTTTATGAAATATTATTACATATACAATGAATTACTTTTAAATTTATGTTTAAATCATTAGTTTACTATTTAAATAATAATGTTTAAAAATATTTTCTTACTTACAGGATAATTGGATTGAACAAACTGTAACAACTAAGAGGTACAATCCTTTTGATTATGATGATGGTGAACCGAACAGTCAAGCGGTACAGCAAGCAAGACCATTTAATTAAATTGAACAACTATTTAAAATGTAATAGATAATTGTTCAAAATCGATTAATGACATTCTATTATTTTTATTAGAACTTTATATTATGATTTATGTTCAACATGTAGGTTGTCATGTCGGTAACCTACTTTAGGTTGATAAAATAAAACTATTGCATTGCAGTTAATTTAAATTATTTTAATGTTTTGATTTCGGTATTTACAGTTATTATTATGGGTTTATATTTATGTTATTAAACTATATATTTTATATTATATATATATATATATATATATATATATATATATTAATATAGTACAAATTATAATTTTCTTTGGTGAATTACAATTTAATAAATGGTATATAATTGAATTGACAGTGTTTTGTAATTAATTTTTTGACAGTTCATTTTATACAAACATCGATTTCCTGGAAGAGAATCTTAAATCTATATCGATCACAAATCGTATGCGATTAGTACTTGAGAAAACAAATGTTTAAAAGGTTAATTTATTTTGGCCCGAATTTGTCCATGTGATTTTTTTTATGAGGCTATTGAAAATAAAAAGTGTTAAAAAAATTTGACTGAAGTTACAACTAGTTATATAATTTAATTATAGTTTGAATATTGACCTCGTAAATTTTGTCTTTTCTAAAGCAGTTTTGAAGTGAAAAAAAATTATCCTAAATTATCCTATAGAAATTCCACTATAGTTTAAGCTATAAATTAAGATTTTGCGAAAAATTGCGTCCTTGATAAATAGGTCGTATCACGTCCATTAATAGGTAATATACAAATTACTAAAGAAAAATAATTTTAAAAAAAATGAATACTACGGAAATAGTATTATAATATTATAGCTAGTTTACATGACTGATGATAATGACAATGATCATGATGATATTGTGGCGAAGATAGCGAAGACAAATTTTATTATAAAATTTAATGTTAAAGGTGAAATTAAAGAAGGGGTCTGAAATTCGTTTTTCTCAAGAGATCAGTTATTAATATAACACCAAATTTAAATTTAGCAAGCTGTAAAAATTAAATTATACCGTTGGGATGTTGGACGCCACTTAGATATTTCTTTTTCTATCTATCGAAGTAGAATATACGTCTTATAGACTACAGATCACTATTTTTATATAAACCCCTCTCCCTCTTCTCTAGGTTTAGTAGACCTCATTAAAACATCCTATTACTTTTTACCCAATTATGTAAGAAACGGCTAGATAAGTGTTAAATAAAAAATTGTAAAAGTTATTGAGTGTTTTTTAGAAAATTTAATACACATCTTAATGACTAATAGGAACTTTAAATTTCAGTTGCCATGAGTTTTAAAAGTAAATTAGGCTCTTTTAAAATCCTAGTTACAGGTAACATGAATAAGTTATAATAAGTATAGCTAAAATAAATAATCATAAATAAGGGATTTTCATTAATTTGATGGTCAATATACGTCTTCAAAGTATGAACGTTTTGGAGAAGATCCAACGCTGATGCTTGTTTTCGACTCGACCTCAACACGAAGGTAGCCCGCTAGGCGCTTCGTATCGAGGTCAGGCAAAATCAGGAGGAATGATAGAAGTGGTTGTGTCTAAAGGTTAAGAGTGTCAAGAGGAAATAAAATAACTATTTAAAACCCATACTTTTTAGCTTTGTATCGAGGCCCACCTAAGTATAATCATGTTGTAATTCACTATGTATAACTTAAATATTTAAACTATTCTGAAATAGAATTAATTCATAATGAATTACATAGCTAATTTGTTAATTAATAAAAAAAAGTTAGAAAATCCCGTAAATGATATTAATAAATGGATAACTGAGTAAAATGTCAAAAGTTTTTAAAACGGGATGCATACCCGCCTACATAATTTTTAGCTTCGGTGCGGAGCTGAGAAGGTATTGTTTTTACAATGATGTGTTTTTATTTTATTTTTATAATTTTTTATTTTTTATTTTTGTGTCTGGACCCACGATATCTCGTAAACCGCTGAACCGATTTATTTGTGTAGCAATTCTATAGATCAGAAATCATACCTGAAAGGTACTTTATTGGGCTAAAAATTAAAAAAAGTCAACCCTTCCCCTTCCTTCTTTTTTTGATGGGGATCAAAATCGAGAATTACACCCAAAAAATGTATACATTTTTCTACATAAAATTACGATGCTCTATAACTTTTTTAATAATAGTCGAAAAAGTTCCAAATTTATATGAATTGTTTTTCAAACAGTACTATCGATAAACATTAACAAACCAAAAAAATATCATAAGCCCTTTCCTTTAGAAGGGGTAGAATTTTTTTCACTTTTTCAAGCAAAGTTTTTGAGATTTAGATCTGAAAATTAGACCGAAGGTAGATCTAAAATGAAACTAAAACATATACAATTTTCTCAAAAATCTGTTGACAAATTTCTTTTTATTAAGGAAAAATCCCAAAAATAGGGTAAATTACACTTTGGCCGTAGTCAGTTTCTAGGATGCTATGTGTGAGTGAAACAACAGTCAACAGGTAATGAAAATATTTTCATTATATTGTTAATTACGATATATGGGTAACTATGACAGTACATTTTTATAGACAGGCGATCAACCCTTATCGTATCCACCCTGCACAAGACTCAATATTAAATTTTAAGTACATTATTGCTGGTCCCACGATATCTTCTAAACCGCTATAACTGGTTTGAACATACTATCCACATATTCGCATCGAAGCTTTATTTAAAAGTGATTTTATCACTTTCAGTTATAATAAAATCTGTAGACCTGTGACCTCTCCGTCTCCACTATGCCCCGACCCCACTGTACTGGCTTTTTAACAATTGTTTTTCAATAACATGGACAAATAATAGTTGCTCAGCGATACCGTTATTTTTTATTCTTATATCTGCATTAACACATTTTTGTGCGAGAATAATTTTTATTGGTTTAACAAAACATACACATGCATACTATACAGCGCTGTTTGTTCAATTCTCGAACACATGATACAATAATAATGAATGGTTGTTATTGAAGTTTATATATAATTTGTCTTCGTTTTTGTAGATTGCTAAAGGAAAAATAGCAGCTTTAGACAAAAGCATAGTTGTTTTTATTTTGCCAGCTAGTAGTTGTATGCGTTTTATAATAAAATACAAATTTGATTAATACATTTTAGAGAATGATGCATTTAAAAAGTATTATATTCCTAATATGTTTTCTAAATTCCACGATGCAAATAATAACAGTAGGAGGGATCTCATGGCCATGTTTGTCTCGCAGATCTATTCTGGTAATTACATTTTAAATGTTTTGCTTTTGTAAGTTAATTTTATTGAATAATTATATACATTTATTTAGCCACTAACGTAATAAGAATTTCTTTAAGAGAGTGCTAAGAACACTAGTGAAAAACTTAATATGTGCTCTAAACAAATGTCTATTTACGTATATCATTTAATTAACTTTTAAAATTTTAAGAATAATATGCTGAAAATGTTGACTGGTTGATAATGACTGGTGTTTGCATTATATTATTCTCGGTATATTTTTTTAACGCAACACCAATATCTGCAAAACAACATACGCATGTCGCATTCATTTTAAATAATATTTTTCTGCGAGTACAGATATTTTAATTGTAAAAAATCATAAGCAAATAAAAAAACGAAGACACGATCTTAAAAGTTTTTAGCATTCAGAAGTTTTATTAAATCGAGTGATACAGTTATCTTATAGTAAAATGTATTTGAAGTTGTTTTTAATTTTATCCTATGTGATAGTACTAGTAGACTCCGGTTTTAGGAGCATGATTACACATTGCTTTAATGCAAAAGTCAGTACAATATATTAACATTAAACATCTATATTATGTTATTATGTTTTATTATCGCTGATTATATTTGTATAACCAAATTTATTACAGCTGATTCGGAAAATATAAAATTGATTATGGTGTCCAATTCACATCGATACATTTTTAATATTCACGTGAATAACATCAATTATCTTGTTTTAGGGAGCGGTTAAAGACGATTCAGTAAGTATAGAATGATGTATTTTCTTTTAACATATTTTAGTAAATTTATTTGTTAAACACTTTTCAAAACAGTATGGCTTCCAAAACTTTATCCTCCTTGTCTCACTTGATTGGTCTCAATTAAGTTCAAAATCTCATTCGTTTTGCCCCTTTTGTGTTTTTACTTTTATTTTGATTGTAAAATATTTTCTCTACTTGTTATTTTGACTAATTAAGTTTGGAAATGATAATTTTATTACTAATTACATATTCAATGGTTTTTTTTTAAATGATTGAACTTTATTTAAATGTTTAGTTTGAAAATAGTAAATTGTGTAAAAATCAGACATGTCTACTTTTAGTAGAAAATTATTTTTTTTTAAATGTTTTCAAATATCGGTGAAAATGAGTAGAAGACGAATTTCAAAAGTAATGTTTATAGTTTAATAAAGCTGTTATTTAAAAATAAAAAATAAAATCTGTTGAAATTTAAATGGTATACTTATTAGGCATGTCCCTATTATAAATCATCCTGAGTTAATAATTTGCTGTGTGGTAATACTTTACCTATAATAATTTGATGGTTTTGGTATGTTTTCTTTTACTCGCCCATGCACAATAATGTTTTAACTTAACAAGTTGAATTAACAATCAATTATGATGTTTTAGGATATAATTATAAGAGGTCCAGTAAGTATAATACAATGTGTTTTATTAAAGCCACTTTTGTTTTTGTAGTGTAATGCATGATTTTCCTTAATAGAAATGTTTAAGCTGAATTCAAATTCAGCGTAGAAAAACTATTAAGTTGAAAATAGAAGGTAGATACGAATAAGAAAAAACTAACACCCTAGGTGGACAGTGGGGGGTCGAGATTATAGAATTTTTGTTTGTGATTTCGAACTAATAGCAGGGCCAGTAAATAAAAAATTCGACCAAATCCAAATTAATCATCAATCTAATAATGGATATAAAATTAAAAAATTGACACGTCCTTAATTTAAAGTAAAAACTAGCTACTGAATTATTATCAAACCAAGATATTGTATTTGTAATTGAAAAACATTTTTATAGTTTTACTAATATTCAGAAAATATAATTATACAGATGGTAGCTTTCAAAACCCCACTTTTAAAAAATGATATTCGATAGATATATTAATAAAATTGTTTAGTATTTTAAAATATTTGTATTGACAGTTTAAACAGACTGTCTAACTCTTTAAATGAAGATTCTGTATGAAATTGTCAATAACGGAAACCTTAATAAATTGACTGTTTAGTTGCCATTAAAAGTTGCATTTAACTTATTCACCTTCAAAACATGTCATCGCACTTACCCCAGTTTAAACAGTGTGTTCAACTATAATCACTTACTTAGTTTACTTAAAAGCAACTATTAATATTTAAAATAAGTTTTTATTTATTCTAAGAATGAATTTTTCCGTTAGGAACTCAACTAAAACTAAAAATATTGTATACGCATATTTTCATTTTTCTTAGCCTAGGTTTGATAGCTATAGAGAATCAGAAAGAACCGAAGAATCTATTAATACAAACGTAAGTGTAAATCATGCAATTTAAGAGCTATAGTGTATAATTTTTCTGCTGTATTTGTCACATAGGTATAGCATAGATATTTATGGGTTGATTGATTAACTGTAACTTAACCCATTTATTTATACTGTACTTCAAAAAACATGTTTTGACAGTTTAGACAGACTGTGCAAACTGTTTAAAAAATAATTCTGTACAACATTTTCAATAACAGAAACCGTAATAAATTGACTATTTGGTTGCCTTTTAAAATTGTATTTTACTTATTCACCCCAACCATGTCTTCGCACGCACACCAGTTTGCACCTAGTGTGCGCAATTATAAACAATTAGTATACATAAAAGCAACTATTAATAGTTTAAAAAGTTGTTATTTATTCTTGGGATGAATTTTATCGGTATGAATTCACTTAGAACTAAAAAAGTGTTTACACGTATTTTGATTTTCCCTAGGTTTTTGATAGCAAAAGAGGATCAGATACAACCGGAAAACCTACTATATCACCACTGGTAAGTATAAATCGAGCAATTTAAGCCATACAGAGCAATTTTGTACCATTATTTAGCCGTATTTATCATATAGGTATGTACATTTTATAGAAGGTTTTTACATTTGTAGTTTAGATCTCTTAGATTAAATCAATTAGGCGGCGAATTAGTTTACATAATCTTTCTTATAAAGTATACATTATAACTTTATTTAACATAGATATTTATAGGGTGATTGGCTGACATTAAAAATTCCCCCCCCCCTAGCTGATTAATGGTTATATTACTATCAGTATAAAATTTAAAATAACAACCAACATGTTCTTTTTATTTTGATAATAGGAAAAATTGGTCGAACTAGAAGCTGAGAATAACATTGACAGTCGTGATGTAGATTCAAAGCACAATTCACCCGAAAAAGAAACAAAAGAAACTAGCAAAAGTAACACAGAAACTAATTCATTGGAAAAAATACCAGTGGAAACTAGTAATATCGTCTCAAAGAACTCCCTAGAAAATGGGAAAGCAGTTGTTAATGGAGTAAATAACATTGTAGGTATTACTTAGTTTTGCTTGATCTCAATTTAAATGCTTTTATATTTACTTAATATTGTTCAAACATGAATTTATAGACTAAATTTGAGTTAATATGTTGTGTTAATAAATTTTAAGATGTGTGTTTTATTAGGAGTCTATTAAGCCCAATCCATCCGGTTCACCAGAAAAAATTAACAAAACAGAACCTATTGATGTTATTTTGGAGGTAATATATCATGTTTTTAATTTATCATAAAATTATAATTTATTCATTAATAATTTACATAGTATTAATTTTTTTTTATCTAAGGTGTATAATTAGCAAAATTATTAACCCGAAACATGTTTGTATCAGTTATTAACTGACTGCAGCTTTTTCGGATAGGTTGAGCTTATTTAGGGGAAAATGTAATATGTATAAAAATATACAAACCAAATTAATTCCCTAGAGTTCATCTAAAAGAAAAATATTTACTTTTTATTTAAGAGTGTTTATTTTTTTAGCAAGCTAATAAAGTGACTTTTGATGAAGGTGATGATGGTGAAGACGAAGGAGTAAGTACTCATACTTAAACATTAATAAAAATAGTTTTTTAGTCTTTACACGAGTTTTTTCAGCAAGGCCTAGTATTTAGTTATAAGAAATAAATTAAAAAAATTAATAAATTTAAGTGTCGTTATAAAAAAATGTATGGTTAGGAATTTGATCTTATAAGCGGACTTCTTGATCAATCTTCGAAACCAAATAAAGACCAAAACAATGCGGCAACTGATGTTAAAAAAGTCGAAGATTCTAATAAGGTAATGTTATATTAAATCAAACTTCAATATTGATATTTGATACGATGTACGAAATATTTAACAGTATCGATATTGTCAGTTATAGCAATTTTGTAAAAGATTACCAATATTTCCGATTTACTTTAGTTATAATATTATTATGTACTCATCAGAATTAGCAGAAATGGTAAAAACGTAGAAGAAGTTAATTAGGTAGTTAAATAAATTAAAAAGTGTAAAATTAGTAATATAATATACCTAGGCTTTAGGCTAAGTTTGATTTCGGGGCTAATAGTTTTGTATTGTTAAAAGCTTTTTTGTTAACTACACAGAAGCCTCGGAAATTAATTAAAGTACATAGACTCTTAAATTTCATTCCTAGAATTTTACCAATTCAACACCAAAAAATGTCCAAGAGTTTGACGATTTTACAACGGGAACCAACAATAAGGTAATGTTCATCACGTCTAATTGATTTTTCTTATAATAATATTTTCATTGTTAACTTTACATAACAATATTTAATTTTATGAATTTCATTAAGGAAAAATAAAACATTTTAATGAAACTAAAATTGTAGTATGTTTAGAACTATAAGCTGTGCTACTAATATTAATAGCTTATAAGAAAATCGTTTAATATCAAGTTATAAAGTAAATTAATATTAATTTTTTTATTATAAATGTAATGAGCTCTTTGCACGCACACCAATTTACATCTAGTGCGCGCAATCATAAACAATTAGTGTACATAAAATTAATTATTACTAGTATATAAATTAAGTATTACTATTAATATATAAAAAAGTTGTTATTTATTCTTAGGATAAATTTTATCGGTATGAATTTACTCAGAACTAAAAGAGTGTTAACACATATTTTGATTTTTCCTAGGTTTTTGATAGCAAAAGAGAATCAGATACAACCGGAAAACCTACTATATCACCACTGGTAAGTATAAATCGAGCAATTTAAGCCATACAGAGCAATTTTGTACCATTATTTAGCCGTATTTATCATATAGGTATGTACATTTTATAGAAGGGTTTAAAATTTCAATTGTAGTTAAGATTTTTCTAGATTTAATCAATTAGACAGAGTATTAGTTTACATAATCTTTCTTATAAAGTATACATCTTAACTTTATTTAACATAGATATTTATAGGGTGATTGGCTGACATTAAAAATCCCCCCCCCCCTCTAGCTGATTAATGGTTATATTACTATCAGTATAAAATTTCAAATAACAACCAACATGTTCTTTTTATTTTGATAATAGGAACAATTGGCTGAAACATATAGGAGTAACATTGCCGTTAGTGACGTAGCGACAACAGGAACCAAGGTATTGTTCATCACATCTATTTCAATTTGTTTTATACTAATTACATTGTTAACATAACTTAACAATATTTAGTTTATGAATTTCATTAAGAAATCATAAAAAAAAATAATGAATCTAAAATAGTATTTTTAGAATTATATGCTGTGTTACTAATATTAATAGTTTATAAGACAATTTTGTAATAACAAGTTGTAAAGTAAATTAATATGAATTGGTTTTTTATAAATGTAATGAGTTTTTGTAAGGTTCTTGAAAGTTCAATGGAAGAAAGTCAATTTCCTTACTAGTTTAAGAAAAACTACAAAAAATATATTTTTTTTTTAATTTTTAGATATTATTACACAAGAAATTATTCTGAAAAAATTAACATTTTGGAAAAGTATTTAACTGATTTTGTAATATAACATTATTATTGTTTTACATATATACTCACTCACAAATTCAAGTGCAATTTAGAACATCAATATTTAATAGGCAGCAATAGGTATCTTCAAAGCATATATTATTTTTTAAAATTATTTATAGAAACTACATGACAAATTTGAGGATCATGAAGAACGCGAAGAAGTAAGTATTTTCTAACTACAAACTCAATTATTTTTATATAATAATATTTACATTATTAACTTGTCGTGGCTGGCAGTACATTAATATTTAATATATTGAAATATTAACTATAATAGCTTTTTTAAAAGGAATAACTTTAGGTGATGCTTAAATTAAAGTAAACAATACACACCAGATTAAAATTTCGTGTAAGTTTGTATACAACAAAAATAATAATAATTGCAAAAAATATAAGCGCTGACATGATAAGGTGCTCCGGGGTTATGCTTGAAAGGCTATTAGGAAAACACAATAGAATCGTATACATTTATAGTACTCATAGTCCAATAGTTATATAGTCAGAGTATTTATCCTGGCCGTAGTGATGGCAATCCTTTGACACTATTTGACTTCACATAATATTATTATAGTTTTAACTTTTATTACGGAATCCTAAAAAATAATAATGACACAAAAAAATAGTATGTACATATTTTATTTGCGGTGCTATTTTATAGGGTAATTTAATAAAACAAAATTATAAATTAATATCCATTCATTTTAAAATGTAATAGGTTGTTGGGAGGTTAAAGGAAAAAAACAATTGCCTTACTCTAAACTTAAGTTAAGTTTCTCGTACATAAAATGTATTTTTTTTTTGTAACTAACGACTTAACCTTTCAAAGGGTTTTATTTCTCAAGGAAATTGGTATACAGCAATCTAAATAAGCAGGGAGCCCTTTTTGATATAATATTTTTAGCTGTTTCCATGATATCTCTTGTTAGCTGATTTCCTTTTATTTCTCCATACCTACTTATTTTTTTCATGATCCTTTTTCGTCATAATTTTAGGTGGGACCACACAATTAATTTATTATACCTTCATTAAAAAGTAAAATAACGAATTAATTTTAAGAAATTTGTTAATAAATAAAAACACTCTTTCTTCTTTCTTACACGGAAAACCATTTTAAACAGAATAGCTAGCAAAATAACTACTAACGACCGAACTCTTATTTTTTTAATGAACTGAAATCGAGACATCCAATGTTGTCAACATTTTGTTGAGACGTTTTAGTATAAAACCTGTTTCATATAACATGAAAATCTATAAACTTGAATATAATATTATTATTTACAAAAATATATTTAAATTTAAGAAACCTTAATTATGAAAATAAACAATTTTTATTTTCAGAATTTATGGGGTTTAAGCGACGGTGGCACAAAGGATAAAACTGTAAAAGATATTAATAAGGTAGTTTTAATTGCTCTTGAATTAACCTTAAAAAGTGTAAAATTAGTAATATAATATACCTAGGCTTTAGGCTAAGTTTGATTTCGGGGCCAATAGTTTTGTATTGTTAAAAGCTTTTTTGTTAACTACACAGAAGCCTCGGAAATTAATTAAAGTACATTGACTCTTAAATTTAATTCCTAGAATTTTACCAATTCAACACCAAAAAATGTCCAAGAGTTTGACGATTTTACAACGGGAACCAACAATAAGGTAATGTTCATCACCTCTAATTGATTTTTCTTATAATAATATTTACATTGTTAACTTTACATAACAATATTTAATTTTATGAATTTCATTAAGGAAAAATAAAACATTTTAATGAAACTAAAATTGTAGTATGTTTAGAACTATAAGCTGTGCTACTCATATTAATAGCTTATAAGAAAATCGTTTAATATCAAGTTATAAAGTAAATTAATATTATTATTTTTTTATAAATGTAATGAGTTCTTTGCACGCACAATTTAATTCCTAGAGTTTTGCCGATTCAACACCAACAAGTTACAAAAGCTTTGACGATTTTTCAACGGGAACCAACAATAAGGTAATGTTTGTCACATCAAGTTGATTTTTTTAAGAAAAACTACAAAAAATAAATTGTTTTCATTTTTATATTATAAAACGGCGTAGATTTTTAATTTAAAATTTTCATTTGTACGATACAAATTTGTTACAATACGTCAAAATCATATTAAGACGTTTTAGTATAAAATCATCTCCAAAATGCCTAAAATAATTTTATATGTACAGGAAAAAAATAATAAATAACAATTATTCCGGAAAAAGTTAACATGTTGGAGATGTATTTAACTGATTATTTTAATAAAACATCATTTATGTTTTGTCCCTCATTGCTCGCTCACAAATTCAAGAGCAATTAAAAACATCAATATTTTATAGGCAACAATAGGTACCAGGACATATTAACGCTTTCTTTAAAGCATATATTATTTTTTTAAATTTATTATAGAATGGATTTCACAAAGAAGAGATTGATGATAAAATCGATGATGTAAGTATTTTCTAACTACAAATTCAATGAATATAAAAATTATAAACAAATTTTATGTTTAGGAATTATTGTCCATGATGTTTACGAAATCCAAATCTAAGAATTAAAAGAACCACGGTTCAAATAATTAAAAAAGTTTAGTTGGATCTAAATAACTATAAATGAGTTAGTTTCTTTTTTCTATATACTGTAAAGTAAAATTTGTTTCCTGTATTGTAGTTTTTTCAATTTGTTAAGATTTATTTCCAATGGAACACTTTTCATTGTCAAAATTATTTATATTTTATTAAATTTAATACCAACAGTCAAAAAGTTTATATCTATTTTAATAAATGATCTTTATTATTCATCAAATATTATTCGACTTTATTTATTAAATAAAACTAATGAGTAGTGGTAATAATCAGAGTGAGATTAAACATAAATATTCTTAAATACTAAAAAAAAACCATAAAGGTAATGAGTAAGACATTTAAATTTAGTTGTCTTTAAACTAAAGAGACAGAGCATTCTGTGGTGGAGTGGGTGAGTTTACTCAAATTCCGAGATCCGACAAAGCGTTGAGAGGTACCCAAAACTGGAAACAACTTCCAGAAGAATCCGTCTTAGAAGTGTACCAGAAGTGGGAAGAGAGGTGGGACCGGTAAATTCTGTACGAAGGACGTTACTCGGAAAAGAAAGAATTTTAATTTTCTCCTAAATAAAAACAAGATTTTTAATAATAATTTTAGTCTCGGTCTCTTCGGACAGCCCGGTAGGTATCAGTATAGGCAACCAAATATGATTCACTGTTAATATTGTTTTCATAACGAAACTACGGAATTTTCTAACAACAATATAATTATGTGTAATTTGTGTATTTTTTAGAATAATACAGAGCTTGGAAATAATACAACTTAACTTTTATAAAGTCCATTTAGAGTTTTTCTTTAAATGTGTATTTGGTTAGTGACTACAAAATAAAAAAATCCTAACCTAACACTGTACAAACACTTTATATTCCGAAAAAACAGTACATTTAATTTATACATTTTCTTTTAAAAGTTTTTTTTTGCCATATTCTGAATTCTAGCCGATATGTCTAAATGTTAAGTAGATTATTCTCAACTCAAAAAGTTTATAAAATATGTACCGTTACCATAAAAAAAAATAAGAAATCTCTAATCACGTTTTTTTTAAAAACCCCAAAAATCAAATTACACGATTAAAAAGACATTTATTGCCAATAAAATGTGATTTATATCTAATGCTTTTAGGTTTTCACCGACTACAGTTCGACATCAAAAAATTTTTTAAAATTATAATATTATAACAATTCCTAAATACTTATCACCTCCTCTCAGGCTTCACTATTCCCCGACAGCGCTGTGCTTGATTTTTTTTTTAAATTTATCTATATAAGGTATAATTATCGTTCAGATAACAGTTAAGAGATTTTCAAAGCCGTATAAAATTATTATTGTTTACTATTTGGCAACTACAATATACATAATATAGAGGAATCTGTGTTCAAGATTTGCGGCGACAACGGGATCAGCGACCTGTCGCCACCGTGAAGGTCTATGTCGATGCATTGAGTTCTCCATACAGCAGTCACCATGCCCACAGGTCGGCAACCGTTGCCTGTGCAACTTGTCTTCTATAGTATATTTACAATGTAACATGCCAACGCATTGCATAATCTAACGCCTTCTCAAAGGAACCCGTCTAACGTCACACCATTGATCGCTGTGCGCTGTACCCGATTGGTAGTCTAATATCGGTGATAACAGCTTGTTTATTAAGATCTTGAAGAACCATATAATAATAAGAAAACAACAATATTGTACATATATTAATAGCTGATTATGACGCCAATTTGTAGTATTTTTTATTGCTGAACCGTTGTTATTTTCGTATTTATCTATTGACACATAAAATGTAAGTTCAACATAACACATTGATAAAATATATAGCACATGTTTGATATTATAATAGGTCTTAACTAGTGTCCTGGTGTATGCATTTTTGGACAAACATAGTTTAGTCATTCTACAGCCAAAGAACTATTGAGACTTCTACTACTATTATTGTTCCTTTTTTGTAGTTTAAAAATGTTTTATTATAATTAACTCATAAAAAATAAACGATTAATACCTATTTTTTAAAAAATACGATATTATCAAAACTGCTACTACTTTTATATAACTAGCGAAAATAAAGAGCAGTTCTTAATTATTTTATGTGAACTGCTTTTTTTAACAGACCTATTATTTAAAATTGTTTTTTTTTTGTATTATTTACTTGTTGTTAAAATAAGCGATTTGTATAGACGGCTGTTTTTCTTTAACATAAATGTTTAATAATCAACACTTTTAAGTATCTATAAAAACTCATTGCGTAAACCATTATAATCCGTCGTAATAGAGTTATGAAAAAAATCGGTCATTATCCAATACAAAAAATCATATTATTTGCAACACAAAAATAAACAATAGTATCAAACGAATGATATAATCATTTAAAATCCCCGCAATTCGTATCGCCATTGTTTTCCATTTTTGTGTTTAGCTCTATTTAGCAAGTAAAAGAGAAAGAAGAAGAGGGCATGGAAAACATGCTCTTCTAGAAAATATCATCATATATATTATAGCATAATAGCAGCTGTAAATAAAATATAATTTCATCGAACGTAGAGTGCTATAGCCTATAATTGGATTTACGTATTGTATATTTGTAGCTCGAAAACAACACAAAAAAGCGACATGAAATAGCGTCACGAAAGTAGCCTTTGCAAATCCGACCTGGGGTTACGATTCAGCGACTCGAAGAATTAATTAGTCTATCCATCGGAAACTTATTTTTTTGTGGAACTGTGTTCCACTACTTACTACTATATTTTATTATATTATACTATAATAGTGTTTGACTTGATTCAGTTAAAATTTCTGGCTGTATGTTTCGTTTATGTTATTTGTATTATGTTTAAATCTAATTGTTTAAACACTGAAAATAATGAAGTGAGTTGAAACTAGTAACGTTCTTAAATTAGAATACTATCGATAAACTACTTTTATGTTACAAAGAAAATTATTTGATAATTATATTGTTCTCTATGATTCAGATAAAATTATCGTCGCGTTATAGCATATAGCCAAAAGAATAGTGATTCACTATAGTATTTAATTTTTTTTGAATTATATGTTTCCCACGGCTATAAGCACTAATCGTAGTTTTTAAATAGCAACAAAAAGAAAAAAATACAGATGGTAGACGTAGATCTAAAAACAACCTTTATTATATCTTCACCCTTAAAGATCTTAAGATTCTAGGGTTAATTCGAGAGTTTTGTATCAGTTTTGAACTTCTGTTATTCGGTTAATATCAATTGATCGGTTTGCAAAGTAAACGCATTTAACAGCTAAAATATATATACACAATATATATATATATATATATCTTTTTTTTTGTCTTGCGATTGTTAGATTTTAATTCTAAGTCTGTTTTTAAACTGGTAATTGCAGTAGTTATTTAGATTATAATGTATTATGTAAACGGCAAACGCCCTATTTGGGTAGTAAGCTAGAGGAGGATATTTTTTTTAAATTATTAATTATTTAAATAATTATATGTCATAGAAAAACAGGTTAATGACATATTTTATTAAATTATAAAATAACGGAACAAATAGGGAAGTGGTCTTCCTATATAAATATAGTAAACTTGTCCTTACTGTTGTTAGTTGTATACAATTTGGATATAATTTAACTAAAACAGGTTTAAGAATGCTAAATAGTGCATGCTTTCGGTTGATATTTGCATGAGAATTTATAAACCATTTTATGAAATTCTGTTTATGTATAAATATTTATTAAAAGTATGTTGAAATCAGAGGGATATAATAAGAAATTAAGGTCCTGTTATACAAAATGATTAAATTCTGGAAGTGTATTATTGTAATTTTAATGTAGTTAAATAAAAATGAACCGTGCAACCTATTACCTACATAGGTACTTGATGGTTTTATTACATTGTCTAGAACTTCTCTTAGAACTATTACTACATTTATATAAACTCGATAAACCATTATTAAGCTGCTATAACAGTTGACTCGACCTAAATATTATGACTTGTTTACATGTATTATTTATGGATAATATGATAATTTATTTATTTTTAAACTATAAACATGGTTTTCAGAATTACATGTTACAGTACATTTATTAAAAACATTTTAGTATAGAGCTCCTTTTGAAATATGTTACCCTTATAAGCAAAAGAAGTTCGATTTAAGTCAGTGTGGGTGGGGAGTGTATAAAATGAAAATTAACCTTCCGTTAGTGTGTTGGGGTTTATTAAACCCCCGTGGTGCAAGTAAGTTTATAAACAACCCTGTGACATGAGATTTTTAAAAAAATTTCGGCAACCACACTAACGAAGGTTTAAATAGGAAAATGTATTGGTAAATGTAAAAGAAATAATGGGTTTTACAGTTAAATCGGTAGTATTTTGTCAAACGCATTATTATACAGGGACAGTTTGTTTTCATTAGGCCGGTTTTAGTGGTACATAATTGAATGGCGTTTTGCAGAAGGTAACCAACCCACAAAAAATTTTTTTTTTTTTGTGGGTTGGTTGCTTTCTGCATAGCGACATTCAATTAAACCACTTTAATTTGTAAACTTATGTATATTTTATCTGAGTATGTAAACGTAGAAGTAGTAAATGATATCTAAAAACTACTGACGAGGTTCGAGGCTTTAGTGTATTATTAATGAAACTAATTCGTAGTTAAGAATGAAGCTGAATAACAAGTACTCATAAATACTTATTTGTTTCATTGCTTTATACTTACTGTTCTAAATAATTTTTCTATTGCTATCTTAAATGCCTAAGTTTAATTAAAACGTTCGATGTTTACACTAAAGCTATATTCTACTTATATACCAGCCATGGCAGATAGTTATATCAGTTGTCACAACTCACAGTTGATGAATACTATATATCAAATTATCAAAATCAAACTCACTTGAGCATTTTAAGCAAGAAAAGACGTTGTTATAGGCTAAAGCTGTTGATTTATTATTATAATTTATAACAATATATAAACCGCTTTTTAATGATGGTATTACCACAATATGTCGTTTCGTGCTATTGTATATTTTATTCAGTAAATACTTTAAAGTGTTAGATTAGACGGCGATTTTGGTTTCTAAGAAAATGTTATACATTGAGCAAGATTAAGATTTAAGCTATAGGAGCCAGGAGGAGGCGTATTTGTGTTAAGGACTAACACACATTGAAAAGCATCAGTGTAGAACGTCCTCTGTTCGTTTTTTTTTTAATGTATGAAATAAACACAAAAACATTTCGTAATAATTGTATTTTTCATCTTTAAGCAATAGCTCTTTGTTGTGTGCCATTAAAGGATTAGTCACTAGACAAATTTATTTATTGCCGCAAACTGCAATAAGTACAAAAACCTAGTACTATCCACATATTTCCATTACATAATACGGTGTACTACGGTGAATTTAATTATTATTTTTAAGTATCAATAGTAGATTATACAATTATTTACTGATATTTACTATAATAACCAATAATTTACATTTATACATGTGTGGCTTACAAATTATTATTTACAATATACGAAATTTAACATATTATGTATTAATAAAATGTTAAGTACAAACTGTAACTGTTCTAAAGACAATTGCATACATTTATCGAAGATTATTGTTAAATAAAAAGAAACAATCGTACATAGTCATCAAAAGCTTTTGTTGTAAGATGTTTATTTATACCAAACTCGAACATTCGAGTATTGCTATAAAAACGTAATTGAATTCACATTTTCCCCACCCGTTTAGACTACCCCGTCTAAATCAAACCGATATACTTATAAATTGTAGGCAATACTTTTTAATTACCTATGTAATATCATTATTGATTATGTAATAATATAACACAACAAGAACGTAATTTGATATAAACCTACGTGTAAATAAATTGTAACGATGGCAAGAGTGGGAAGCCCTTAAAGTATTTGTATGTTAAAAAGGTAATATTATAATATTATTTTCAGTATTCTTACCTTGAACATTAAATAAAAATAGATATCGAATTACACTCCCCTCTCTGTTATGCTGTATTACACCCACCCCAGACTCCACAGCCACCTCCAGGTTCATAATATTAACATTTCATTGTTTGCACTTTGCACAACACCCACTAAAGTCTGACGGACTCCGCACTGACTATATATCTCACAGTCTAATGAACAAATACTTCATGCTTCAATTTATAAAGTAGAAAAGAAATGTTGACATGTTATTCGGGCAGTGAGGCTCTTGTTTTACCTGTTCATATTATATTGTGTAGTTAACGATCAATCGGGAAATCAAATTTTCAAATATCTGAGACATTATGAGATGTCGGTGTTTTTTGTAGGATTATTGAAAAATAATTAAAAATTAGTATTTTTTTCTCTAAAAGTATGAGAAGATTTTCCAAACAGGTTGTTTGGATTAGAAACAACAAAATAAAAATCATGTAATGTCTAACAAGTATTTCTTTTAGTATAGTCTTTAATAAATACTGTTTACGTGTTTTTATTATGCTTAAATTAAGAAACCTAAGAAGGTCATATGGTAATAACACGATTCCTGGTTTCACGTGGACAGTTGACTTTCAAAACATTTATGAGATATCCAGAGTTAAATAACTAATAAACATTATATTTCACTATGCATCTAAAATTTAATACTTTTTGTTTCCGAAAAGACTTCCAGTGAAACCATAAAATGAAAATAAATAGCTATGATGCGATAGTATGTAATTTAGACAAATTAATGGTAACTCTACAAATATCCATTATTTTAATGTTAATGTAGGTATTAAATTATAAAAAGATAAAGAAATTTTGTATATTATTTACTAAAGTATGAACAAGTTAATAAGGTCTGGGGGGGGGGGGGTAATTGTTAATAAGTGGGACAAACGTAAATTATATTTTTTAATAAATTAATAAAAAAATGCCCATTTTATCTAATACTATAAATTATGAGATGTTTATGTACTACATAATGAAATAAAATAAAAACATTATTGATTCTTTCTATAAAAAAAATTTTATTTACACATGCTCAATTTGCTAATTTACTTAAGACTACCTTAGACACTAGTAGTTGAGTTGGATTTATAAATTAGTTATTCGCTTACATAAATTAGTAAAAGAAATAATGATGGCAGCTTATATTTAATAGATAATATCAATCTCGACTTAACACTTTATAGTGATTGATAGTATATTTTATGAATCATGTTTTTAATTTTCATGATATATAAATATAATTATTACCAAGCATAAAACACATTTGTTTTGATTCTTGGTATTACTAACATTTTAACTAAATACTTAGCTCATTACTTGGAAAGCAAATTACTGATTAGAGATGAGGATATAAATTATAATAGAAACTCCTTAGCCTTGTTGACATAATCGTATTTATCTTCATAATATATTGTTGGAGAAAAAAGATGAGTTAAAACAGACTATTAACTTACATACCTACTTTAATTTTAATTTTAGATACAATCGGAAATTATGTATGACAATAAAAGTATGATATACTATAGTCATGTTGTATTATTTAAACAATTAATTGTGCAGCGTTATACTATTTCACAATTGACTATTAAGACTTGTAAATGCGATAAAATAGCTTTTATAAGTACCTGTGTATAATACAGTAAATATATTATATCATTTACTGTTAAATATATCATGTTATAATTTATATGTGCGATGTACATAGGACATAGTTATTAGTTATCATGGTGAATGTCTTATAATTCAACTAATATCATTTGAATTGTAAATTGAAGTACTTTTTACTAATATCGCTGTAACTATCTCAAGAAGTCAAGTCATTCACCTAAGAACGTCTAGAATTTTACATATTTATCTACTTATTGTAGATTTTTTGCTTTAAAAAATAAAAATATAAAGACATTTATTAACATTGTTATAATTTATGTCAATTTTTTAGATTTCATCGAGTTAAGTGTTACTGGTATCCCTCGGGTTATTATGGATATTTCTTGTTGTTTTGATTGAAACTCGATTTTTTTAAGCCACGAAATAGAGTGAATATTGGGAGTATTAAAAAGAAAGTTCACAATTATATATATTTATTTAGTGTAATCTAATGGAGTTACACACGTTTCACATAAAAAGTATGATGTAATTGTCAGCTTTTACTCATATATTATTAGTTATTTAATATCGTTTACAAAGTGTGCTTAAAAAGTTTCAGGACTAACTTTTTTTAACAAATTTCAAGTAGCGTTATGTAAGGTCCAATGCCGGAACTATTTAGTACTATTATTTATTTAACTTCTGTAAGAATTCCAGTGTGAAAACTTTATTCAGTAGCCATCTGTGTCGATTTGAAGTTCTAGTGTTTTTTGCCACGTCGTGTAACGATTGTACGATGGAAAAAAGAACCACGATTCATTTCCCCCCCCCCCCCAAATTATGGAAAAGTGGTTTTGAAATATTTCAAATTATGAAAACTACGGATGAAATTGTTCGTTTTAGTTGTAGCATTGTTAAAATACAATATTACGGGTTTTAATCAATGGTCGTAGCAATTTTTTTGTGAATGGTATTAACTTTATTTTTTTTTTTTGAACATTTTTAAAACAATTTTTTAATTTTTCGAGTTTTTTTTACTACGAATAAAGTGAGTTTGCCCCGTTGCACAAAGACAAATAAAACAGGTCGATAATATTAATTATAATGAAAATGGTCAATCGTTTTTTTACGTTATTTTACCAATCTTCTCTGAAAGTACCGCGACCCCTGACATTGCTAGCATAGGCAGAGCGCTGAGCGTGGGTGGACGTTCATTCTTTTCATTATTCGTGGTTTTGGTAAGGAAATGCTATTTATTTATCTATTTACTACAATATAGAGTAGTTACATTAAATACTGTCAGACTCAACACTGTGATGTGTTCGATTAAAACCAAATGCCGATAGTTTAAATACAGCCGTCATGTCACAGTCGACGAGGTGGTCGATGGCGTGTGATGACAACTGGATATTTCGAATTTATGTACGCACATACATCACTTGGTGGACTTTAACGAGTACATCTGAGCTATAGTGTGTGTCTTGTATTCTCCATAAACTATAATAATGTATTATTGATATTAATAGCACCATAGTGTCGTCCTCGGTGCTCGTGACCACTATAATTTGCGTGTGGTATGGTTTTTTTGTTTGTAAAAAAAAAAAAAAAACAATAACAACAATAATAAGTCACCTGTAACGCGAGTGGAATGTACCTTGTAATAATATTGCTCATTTACACTTTGTGTGTATCGATAGATTGCGCAAAAATGACCAAACGTTATTACGTGCCCGGGTAAAAATAGGTATCTTTTTACCAAATAGTATAACGCTGGGGTATACGGCCGAAAAACTGTGCAATCTCTGGACATGCCTACCTACCTAGCATGTATAATAATAATAATATTATTATAATGTGTAGAGGCATACGTGTGTGACGGGCATGTGTGCACGTAGCGTAATAGAAATAAAATAGGTGTACGATCGTGTGTGCGTTTGACGAGTCCAACGGAAAACGGTGAAAAAATATTTACACCGATACATATTATTATTATTATTGTTATGTTTATGTACTAGTAGTTTAATTAATGCCCGTGATATAACGGTACTCGGTACAACGACCAATGTAACATTATATTACATTCGTTATTATTATTATTATTATTATTATTATTACTATTGCTATTGTACACTAACTGGAAATAGAATAACGTGTACAGGCATGTATATACTATACATATAATATGTAATATAATAAAATATAATATTGTCTGTTGTTGGGCAGGTACCTCCAGCAGTAGTTGCGATATTCCGACAGCGTGGGAGTGGGTTGGGCGTGAAAAAAGAGGGGAGGAAGCGCGGTAGTCGTCGTACTACAGTTGCCGATTGATACGAAAAATTATTATACATAAACCCGACGGCTGGTGGCGACACGATCCAGATCATAAAAACCGCCGGCAGCCATTAGATGTGTTCTCGCCGTTTTTCCGCGTTCGGGTTTCTACCGCCATCGCCACCGGTGATAATAATAGTATAAAGTGATAAAATCAATTACCACGATGACGGCCAAGGACATTGTAAACAATAATAATAATAATAAAAATAATAATTAAAATTTATTAAATAAAATTAAAAAAAAAAATAAACCGCAATCGGATCCGAGACGAATATCATTATTATTATCGTTATCGACTGTCGACGGTGATAACGCGATTGTATTTATAATAATTGTTTTACTGACGATCGATGATTTTTTATGTCATATTTTACATGTCTTATCGTAATCGTGTTATATTTTACCGCATCAATTAAAGTATAATAATATTATTATTATTATAAAAACCGAGTGCAGCAGTGCCGAGTGCGCATTGCCGTTTTGTCGGCAGTATCCGATAATTGTCGGCACAGTACCGTGTTGATTACAGCGGGATGCCTGATGTTTTAATACAAATAATAATAACGACATTATCAGATAATACGATCAATGATAGTAGAATAACACAGTATAGTATTTAACGGTGCGAGCAGCGAGTGCAATCTGCAGTGCGCGTGTGTATTAGTAACGCGCGGTCGTCCGTTTGTTGTTATTATTACTTTTGTATATTTTCGTAATCGCTAATGATCGCCGACAACATTAGCAGTTAAAACTGGAAAGATGGATACGTGCGTCGATCCCAAACTACCGCCGTGGAAGATAGAACTGATCAACAGAAGACGGACCAGAAATAATCAATCAAAATGCACCGGCGGCGGCCACAGCAATAGCGAACAACAGGTAAAACCAGTTCAATGGACCTGGTCCCCTACCACACAACACTTTCTCCAGCAGCCGGCCAACGCGGTGCAAACGTCCCAGCAGCAACAGCAGCAGTCAGCAGTCGGCGCAGTGTGTTCGAACATGAGGCTGTTAAAGTGCGATACCGTGATAATGACAAATTTCAAGAAAAATCCACAGATCAACCGTTGTAGATCAAAATTTAAAACGAAACCGCAAATTATTACAGAAATCACAAACGGGCTGGACTACCAGTCTGACTCTAGCGAGGAATTCAAGTACGGACCGGGTATCGTTAACAAACTCAAGTCAAAATACATGAGCATGACGGTCCGAGAACAAAAACCCAGGCCGCCCTTATGGCGCTCCAACAGCATGGACAACCTTGTTGAGGATAAACACTGTCAAGAGAAACCCAAACATATTTCACCTCCTGATGTAATCAGCGTTGCAGCAGCAGTCAAAAGCGAAACTCTCAAGCGAGCAAGATCTCTGGAGGCTTTGTCTGAATCGCAAGCAGCTAATACCAACGGCGACAAAGAAGAACAGCATCAGCCAATAACCATGAATGCTGAATTACCACCTCCTGATGTAGTCAAAACATACAAAAAGATATTTGAAACCAAAACACAAATTGAAACAAAACCTATCAAAATCAAACCTGCCATTATGCCAAAACCAATGTTGAGTCCAGAAAAGACACGTCCAGTTAGAATGAACAAAGTACCTCTGAAGAAAAATATGTTACCACCAGTTAAATATCCAAACAGGTATTGTACCTTATTTTCATTTACATTATGATGCTATAATTAATCTCTTATGTGCATGGCAAATGGGTAAAATAATGTTGTTATTCAATGTTTAGTTGAATGTCTGTACATTAACTCAAATTGTTTTTACTAGATGTATTCGGCATCATTACTTAACCATTAAGCCTATTCAGTAATTAACAAATATTTCATTCAAGTATCTTATTAGTTACTCTTTCATAAAACATCAATGTAACAATTACCTTAATTATGTAGTTTTAGTCAATTTTACTAATGTTTTTTTTTTTATGAAAGAAACTGTATTGTGATAGTATATTAAGAATAGAATATATTTGTTCAATCGTATATTAAAATAGTGTAGATACTTATTACTTAGGTACAGCATTATTAAAACTTCAAATTAATATGTTGTATAAATTAATATAATATAAATGGTATTTTGGTTGAGATATAAAAGTAGTGAATTAGATAATAGACTATAATAATGTCAGTGCCATCTACTGTTGAAAGCGCTTGGGAGGCAAAAGATTTTTTTGCGTCTCCGCCTAGCCCCCAATTTCCTGACTCAAACGTTCATAAAAATTTAAATGTATATTTTAATATCTAATTATCTTTTTAAAATAGTGTCTTGTGATGTAAGTGGGTAGGTGTAATTTAGGGACAGCATGAGTACGCTTAGCACCCTGAAAATCATTTGCATTCCATATTTTGCATTGTATTAGAGTTGACATTCTATTTATAATGTCAAAGTTAAAGCTGACTCCACATTTTTTTAGTGAAAATATGTGAGTGGATTTAATTGTATCATAATATTATTTTAGTTTCTTGAAACAGATTTTAAAGATAAGTTATTAATTTAATAATATAAAATAAATAAGATTGAATAACTACTGTAGTATAAAAAATACTGTACTTAATTGCCTATTTTATGATAATTGATAATCAATAATTTAAAATGGTCTTCTTGGTTGTTTTTTTAGTTTTCTATTAGGTATTTTTATTGTTTAATATTTTTCTAAAAATAGAGGTTAGTAATAAATAGAATTAGTGACTTTCTAAAAATTCAAGCTTATTGGACAAAGTGTACAAAACTATAACCATATTTAATTGTTTTAATTAGTATCTAATATTCTAATTATAGGGTTTACAGACCATATCGGTGTTTTATATTTTTTAAAAAAGAATTCATGAATTTTTTAATTGCTGCCAATGGTTATGTGTATTTTACAACTCTGATTCAACTGATGTTATCAAATAGTTGGAAATGTTAATTGACCAAAATACAATTAGGTACAAGTGAAAAATAATATAATACATAATTAAATAACAAAATATAGAATACATATTTAAGAAGGTAATGAAAATGTATTATTATTTTTGTATAAATGGAAAAGCTGCTAAAATATATTAACTGTGGGTGTGGGAGTAGGACTTTATTTTATAAATTCATAATATTATGTTTACTAACCACACCAGCCACCTCTCAAATGTTTTCTAATAAACCATATTATATGTAATACTTAAAATTTTTAATAAAACATTAAAAAAATTGGTAAATTTCACAGATTGAAATATTAACCTGATCATTTTCATGTTTATGTGCTGATGTTGTGGACCCATTACTGAGTCTATCTTCAGAGCAATAGTCACCGTTCTTTGGAGCATAGTCCTAGTACTATTGCTTTGAAGACATACTTGGCAATGAGTCCAAAATGTAAAGACATGAATACATCCAAAAATTATTAAGTTAATGAGAATAAATTAAATCTCTTAAGGAGAGTTTTAGTTCTGTTTACTGATGTATCAGCATTTAGTAGACATTACATATCTTAATTTACCATGGCTTTGGTGATACTTAATACTAATCATTGGTTTACTAATCATTTTTTGTTCATTTATAGATTAAAGAAAAAAGAACCATTGGGTCTAGATAGATCAAAATCATTGATCAATGATGAAGTAAGCTCTAGCCAGGATGAATCATCCATGTCATCTGACGACGGTAGTTCAGTGAAACATAGAGTAGTTATTAAGACTAACATTAATGGATCTATCAATGATAATAAAATAGTTGCTGTGCAAACAAAACAAATATGTGTTATTAGACCAACAACTAGAACTGTTACACTACCAGAAGAAACTAGTAATGCTCAACTATCGGATAAAGAAATAGAAAAAAACTTTTTAAATAATAATAATAATAATACTAATAATAATAATTCCAATGGTGAGAAGAGATTGGGTGGGTTATGGGATAAAAAACGTTGGGACAACAATGAAAATAGTGTAGTTTTCAATTTTGTCAACCGTAAAGGAGTTCCAAATTACATTGACAGCGAAGGACCAATTCCTAGAAGAGACAATCCCTGTGTAATTTTTTCATTTTTTTACTATGTAGTTTTTAATTAATCTACTATGATGATAATTATTTTCTTTGTTTCTTTAGGGGATCAAAAACGGATGTATTATGTTAGATGCACATTGCGAAGAATCAAGTACTGATGACATTGACTCTGCAAACAATGACAATTATGTTATTTTTATTGGTGATAACATTATCATTGGCCGTTCAAATCTCCGTAATGGAAATAGTTCCACCCCAAGAAAGGTAAAAACACTTAGAATTAATTTTTCTACTTTGTCTTAGCCCTTATATGTGGGACTAAAATGGAAAAAACTCTCATACCTCGTACAGTACAATAATTTGTTCTTGTTGGAAAGAGGAAGACTGCTTTACGAGGTATGGGAGTTTTTCCCAAAAGGTATGTTTTACCCATAAAAACTAGTCTCACACAGGCCCTTTTAATAAAAATATTTAAGGTGATACATTCTTTCAAGCTAGATTTTTATGTAATTTTGGGTTTATTATTTCAACGGAAGTATCAAATTAAGTAGTTAATTCACATCAAGGTAATAAAAACAAGTTTATATCCATCTTAAGTATCTGTCTAAACATAAGAAACATTGTCAAAAACATTGTTTCTGTGTGGACTTTGTCAGAAATAAGCAGCAATGCCGAAGACAATGTTGGTAAAAATATCGTTTAAGTGTGGACAGGGCTTTAATACTCAATTAAGTTTATTTATATTAACTTAATGTGATTGAATGTAAACTTTGTATAGGAAGCTGATCAGGTTAGGGATAAATAGAGAAGTTATAAACTAAAAAGTATAAACGTATGGAGGCATCGTATTAAATTATCGCAAGATTGCAAAATCCACATTAATTGTTCCCATACCCACTTGTCAAGATCTACTTGTGTTAAATGTGTAGAAATCAAAATTAATTAAAAAAAATATATACAATGAAAATATCTGATATCTGAGAAAATATCTGAGAAGCATTTAAAAGCGACCTTTATAACAAATCTAAAAATAAAATTTAAGTTAGTAATATTGTTAAGAGACCAACTTGCAAGTTATTCAATCATAAAAGGTTTTTTTTCATAAATTCGTTGATATTTTATTATTAAGACGACACACATACAATTATCAAATATTAAAATTACTTTTGCTTAAATTTCACAAACAATACATCCGTTAACCGTATGTGGATGCATTGCTATGTGTATTTTTCAATATAAAAAGAAACATACCTAATTATTAAATTCTTCTAGTTTATAATTGCTTGTTAGTTTAGAAAAAGTTTCACATGAAAATAAAAAAACAAATATATAATTATTGTATATGATATACTTTAAATAAAATTTTATTTTAAGGCTGATGTACAGATAAAAAAAAAAAATAGGTGTAGGATAAATGCACTCATAACTTAAAATAAATATATTTGAACACATTGCTTTTTAGATGTAATCATACAATTATATCTCTATCGTTGTTTAATTATGTACCTATTATTTTGTGTTTAAAAAAAACAAGAACTTCAGTCACTTACCTATATTATTAGTTAATCTTTAAAGTATTGATTTTGCTTTTATACAATATTTTCGGTATTATCAAGTTATATTTAGTAATTAGATACACACCGAACTGAAATAAAAGTTAAAACAAAACTTATAAAAATTATTACAAACGAGAGATTTTGAAAAAAAAACTAACCAGATTTGAAATAAATAATAGTTGTGCTAAATATTGTTTTTAAAGTGTGTTTGGTGTTCGCTGTTAACTTGAATAATTATTTATTCGCTAGCTCGTTTCACTGTGAACATTGATTTTCGAACGGATTTTACTCTATTTTGTAATGCGATACGCGTGTATGGGTAATAATAAAAGGAATATCAAACAAGTCTTTCCATTATTATTGCTCTTAAAGACATTCATCATAGGTCAATGAGCCGGCTTGTTCGTGGAAATGACTTAAGGCATTATTATTTCATTTTATTAATACAATATGTGTGTGTTATACCCTGGTGTATAGTGTATAGTGTGCAGTGTGTGTGTGTGTGTGTGTACATTCTTTTATACAATGACACTTGAATGCACAGCTCCTAGCCACTGGGCAACAGCTCCTCGACGACGACGTCACCGACGCCAAGACATTTTTGTTGTGTTTCTTCCTCTGTTTTAAGCAGTTCTCTGTTTTTTTTTTTTGTCCGATACTGTCTCCGTTAATTCATTGGTAACGTTTAAACGTCAACATAAGTGTACACCTAAGCCACGACGTTACCGGATTTTCAGACACTGACGGTTATTGTACTGTGTTTGTACAGTCAAGGCCGAATGCTAATAGCGCAACGTTGGACACGGAATAAATAATAATAATAATACAAAAAAAAAATCCAGATTATCAACGTGTAACATGTGCGGATCGCAGGATGCGTTCGATTAGTGTATTTTATCCGCACGTTTTCAACTATTATTATTATTGTAGTCTGACAGTAAGTACACCTAGCAGGTAATATGTATAGATAACAAATTGTAGTTACCGTGCTATAATTGTTATTGTACATGAAAATAATGATATGGTTTCCAAAGACAAAATGCTATGGACGTTGCCGTGTTAGCACCGGTGCACCACCGCTCGAAACTAGTAATTCTTCTTTTTTCCGGTTTGTTTTTATTTCTGCGTGACCGATAAAGATTTGGTACGTGTAATACATCTATATTTGATGTGTACTAAATCGTCTTGACCGCAATCGTCAGACTACTGAAATCTGACTTGATCCAATTTTCAAGTATTCAGCGTTATGTAAATTAACGGCGTGAACACTTCAATACAGTTTACATTGAAATCGTTCATCTTTCACGCGTCCAAATTAGGTGTCTGGTTTTTTTTGTTCCAATTTTTTTTTTACCCGGTGAAGTTTTGACGTTGTAGTCTATAGACCCGCTGTAAGTCCATTCCCCTTGAAAGACCGACCCCTTTGAGCGGGGCTGCTCTACCCGATAACTCTATAAACGGTCAAAACCACATGATTTTATTGTTTTGTTAACTGCATACGTTTTTCGGTCTTGATATGTTAATTATTTTGATTTATAATAGTGTTGTTCGTTTTCAAGTTCGAGTTTCTACTACTCGAAGATAGGGTAATCTGACAAAATTGTCATATTTCTACAGCGTGCTCTTGATTTTTTTGTTTAATTTCCTTATCTAATTTTATGTTATGCACTAAATTATGTTGACACTCGTTGATAGTTTTTAAAGATATTTTAACGCTTCTATTTTATTATATAATATTACCTTAAAATGTATAACTTACAGTTTATTTACTATGCATTCTATAGTGATTATTTGTTGATTTTTTTTTTTTTGACAATAAATGTTGTTGAGCCATGTCGTGCTCTGATATAACTTTTTATTCTTAAATTTATCTTGAATAATCGAAGATGTGGCTTTCGGTTACCGATGTACAAATATTTTTTTTATTCGCAGACCATAGTCGCCAGTGTAATGATGTACGCTAAATGAGGTTAAAAGTAGACAGTTAACAGTTTATTGTTTTTTTTTTTTTATTAGAGTTAGTTAATAACGGTCTCGTTGTATTGCCACGTGCAATTTCTTTTTAAGTGTCATTGTAAGCGGCGGTGCCTGTTTGAGTCGCTAAAAAAAATGTAATTTTCGTGCCACGTTTAAACCATACCGTGCTGAAAATGTCACTAAACATACAAGGAATTGTTTAAATATTTTATAGGTATTGGTTACAATAATATAATAAAAAATATGTATTACATCAAATGTGATGTAATTGTTAGTTTAATATAACCGCGTTTTACATGAGAAAAAAAATAGAAAAACTAACAGCTTACAAGTCGAAGCCATAGGTCGGCGAGAATTATTATACTCATTATTATATTGATGTATACAGAGTGATGAATTTTTAACGCAAGACACTTATTTTCTCTTAAAATAATTGCAATTTTGTGGTTTTTCTCCTTGAAGACGTTTTCATCTATATTATTTTAAAATAATATTGTAAAATAAAATAAAAAAATCACTAAATATTTACCTATTTTAGCATTATATCCAGAGCAAGTTTTTTAGAGCTTTGGTAAAAAATAAAAATTATAAACAATTTCAACATTGTCTAATGTTGTAAAAGAACAAAAAATACTAGTGTGTCTCCCACAAAGAAAAACTACAAAATTGCAATAATTTCAAGAGAAAATTAGTGTCGTCTTACGTTAAGTTGACGATCACTCTGTATTGCCGTACAAAAACCGTGTAAACGGACAAAAAAACCAATTGACGCATGGTAGTCTTTGAAGGCCGTATAACTCTACTTCACCGGTTCTCAACGCGGTGTGCTGTCGCGGTGAATACCGCAAGTACCACATGTGTATAAAATAACGGTACACCCATCAGACTTGTGTGTATAGACCGGCATATTACATCCGGTGACCGACTCGGTTTTCTTTATGACTGCTGCTAATGTTTTTTAATTCCACTGTTGTTATTTGCAGAACTTGAGAATACAATTTTCCGACGTTCTGGAAACGACGCACGAATACCCTTCGGAGGCGTCGCTTTTGCTCGAGGAAGAACACAATCATCACCATGGGTCGCCGCCACTACCGTCGTCGGAGGGGGACCACGAAAACTCTGTGAAAATACCTCCAAAAAGTAACGTTCTCCTTCAATTACCATTTTTTTATCCCCTGTACCCAGGGACCTAACTTGGCCCCACTTGGGACCGGGTCTAAAACGCGGTCATTTAGCTTTGAATAGTTTTAAGCAAATAATAAAGTATTGGCTTTCACCATGTGTGCGGTTGGTTCCAAATTGTCCATTTATTTTTGGAGATTATTCTTTTTTTCGAAAAAATTAAGTCCTATAAAAAGTAAAATATGCTTTTTAACGTTTACCGTCCATGGTAGTTGTGAACTTTCATTTTGTCAACATACTGATCAAATTTCTGTAGACGAGGTTAAGAAAACTCCCTAAAATATCTCCTAAACATTTTTTTCGCCGGTCGTGGCTATTTAATAAGAGGCAAAATTTAGGCAATATATTATACATATGAGAAAAAAACGACTTTACTCAATTTCGACCATGCCAATTAGTTTTCATATTAATTCGTATAAGCTTCGGGTATTACAATTTTTCTATGAGGAATAGATCTTTTGGTGGTGAAAATTACTTAATAACCTTACACGTTTTTGTTTGAAAGTAGAAAACTTCATGCAGCGGTTGGAATTTGATATTTTTTTTTTACAATTTTCAAAAATGGGATTTAAAAAAATTGGTCAAGCTCAAAATGTGAGTCCGGTACCCCTCGTAGAAAGTCTAGATCTATCAAACAAAAATCATCGACTTCGGATCACTCTAGCAAGTGTGAGAGTTTTGCCGTAAGGCATGTTTTCGAACGAAAAAACAGACAAGACTGCTAAAACGGATATAATATTTTCTCGTCTGGACAAAGTACTAAAATATAATTATTATATTTTAGTACTTTTCTTTAGAAAAAACCTCTAAAATATTCAATTGTTAGTTTGAGTTTCAACAGAGCTTTTTATTTGCTTACTCATATTTTGTGATCAACTCGTATAATAATTTGTGTTATATTTTACACGCCAATCGAGACAAACCCGTTTAGAGACCCCAAGTACAGTTTGTTGTACTTAACGTTTTATCGGAACATTACTAGTAGAGAATATATTATTGTGATATACTTACCTATTTCTGTGCAACCCGGAACGACGTTAATGCGATGATGATTTTTTTTTTTTCATATAATATATTTTCATATTATACGGTACTTAGTGCGTGCCTGCGCGCAGGACTTCGCCAACATCGCCAAGTAGGTCGAGTACCCGTGCTTTCACTAATCACGGTCAAGGTTCAATATAATATGTCGTTATTAGTAATATTATTATATTGAAATTGCAGCTATAAAAAAATAATAATATATATCCTGTTTATTTTTCGCCTTATCGAGCGGTCCTCGTGTTCGTTCCGAATAAACGCCGGTTTTTTTTCTTTATCAAGTTAGTCCGTCATGATCACGATGTGGACTCTAACGCGGTCAATTAGGTGTTGCCTATTACCGGTGTTAAAAATAGAATCGATAGTAAAATGTATTTTTCTATGTACTATTTTACCGACTATAAAATATGTAAACACCTGGTATCGTCACTTCATCGGCGTTTAAATTATTATTACACACATTGAACCTAAATGGAAAAATCATTATTGTTTTTGAAAATGTCAAAATTATCATGTTGTTGAATATTTTTACATGTATAGTAATATAGATTCGACGTATTTGGCAGCTGGGTACTTAGGAGGTTCCGGTTTTTTTGAGAAAAAAACAAGACAACCGAATATAACGCGTTATGCGTCGCGTGTGGTCTGTTTATTGAATCTATTGACGGATGAATATTTATTTTGATTTTATAAGGTTAATCGGTATAATACCGTTTTAGTGTTTCCTTCGTAATTACTTGAAACAGTTTAACAGTCCGCGTAGGGTCATCGCTGTCCTCTTCTAGGTAGGGTTTTTCTGACCTGTTTTACTTAAACGGAGCAATCACAACCGCCTAACAGTGACTTGAACCCGTGACATTGAGTGCTAACACACACTGTGGTCTTTCCCCCACTCGTTCTCTTTTTGTACTAAAATAAATTAAGGCATGGTTGATTAACGCAATTTTTATAAGTAAATGCTTTAATTCGTGAGGTCAATGGCTTATGTATATATATTTTTTTTTAATGGGGACACGTCTTCTCCATCGCGTATCTACTTATGGTGAAATTTGGAATTCCTAAAATCTAGGTTTGGACAGTACTTGCTTATTATCACAATAAACGTTGTCCTAATCCGGGCGATGGTATTTGCGGTTGTCCGTACACTATGGGAAGCACGACTTCTTGGTCTAACGGTTTTGTTTAATTTTGTTTTCCACAGACAGTTTTGGAAGCTACACTCCGTGCAAGCTCGGGACCACCGAAGAAGCGTTTCTAGGCGAATACGGTGTAAGCCGAAACAATGTGATAAGAAACGTCAAACGCGTTGACAAAAACGACGAGACCACCACGACCGACCAGTCGGCGATTGATTCGAATGTACCCTGGAGCGAAGAAACGACACCTGATCTCTTGTTTTGAGTTCCTATTATTTATTTATATGTGTTAACGAGCTCAATAGTGTTTATAGATATAAATATATCGATGTATAATATATATGTGCATATAATATACATTTTTTTTTTTATGTATATATATTATATTATGCTAATTTTCTTATTGTAAACAGTGGATACAAACGAGGAACACAATTTTCCTTTTTCTTTTTTTTATATTTATATAATATATAAAATGAGTATATAACATGATTATGTTTATAATGATTAATTAATGGAAAATAATGGCCAACACATCATAATATAAGACTCAATGAGAAATTTATCGACTGAATAAATACATTCTTTATATATTTATATATTTTTACGATTCCTAATGTAAAAGTACATGTAACTTTTCTATGCATTGTGTTTTGTTAATTGCTAAATATTATCTTTACTATTATAAACACATAATTATGTTTATTTATTTATAAAGCCTTTTTTTACATATATGTATATATAGATATATACACACATTATTCAAAAACAACAATTTGATGTTTACATAAGTTTTGTATTTATCACATCAATATAGACTTTTTTGAAAAATGATTGGTGTTGATCCACTTTTTAAAATTATACTTTATATCTAATCACTTAAAAAAAAACAGGTCTTAAATTCTTTAAAGTATATTAATTTTTTATTGTTTTAATATAATATACAATTAAATTGTATTATAGTTTGAACACATATGTATTGATACATTTAACAACTATAACTAGTTTAGTGCACCGTGGGTTTTAGTTAACCTAGTAAAACCACATTATGTTGTCGCCGTTTAAAAAGCTTGCGGAGCTTAACTGTTATACAACTATTCTTTTAAATTATAATACTGTTATTTAAATTTGAATCTTTAGGCCGAATATTTATAACGACATCAAATGTGTGGGTTTCATATTAGCTCATTGTAAAATTAATCAAATTAGTTCTCCGAATAACACAGATAAGAGTTACATCTTTATAAGCATACTATATTTTAATTGCAATAATTTCGCTGTATGTATTTCTCGGCAAACCAATTAAATGCATAAGCCACCATATATAGCTCGGTTATTTGCTCAATGTGTTTGTTTAAAAGAACAAGTTTCTAATGTTACAAAAACTATATTATACAACCACAACTATAAGTATTTTTAAAAATATTTATATTTTGAACTTTAAGATGAATATCTAACAAATAATAAATTTAAATAAAACGATGTACTTATTTTTTTTTAGGTACATGGAAAAAGTAGATACTCGTGCTTCATTAAATTTAACTAGTTTAAAACTAAGACAAATAAATAGTATAATTTATATTAAAAAAAAAATCTATACAATTATAATTGTTAGGCGAAAACCAAAATGGGGGACGCATTAAACTTATAATAATACTTATTACCCTTATTACTTATATACATTTTACATGTTCAGCCTTGTAAAGTGTAAAAATATTGACTTTGGTAATAGATATTGTTTAAATTAGTAAGTCTGATAATTATTTTACAGTAAGTACTGTACTTACTATTATACAAGTTACTACAAAACCCTGAAAAATGTTTATATCTATGTATTCTACTGTTCTTCTTAAACACCTTTTAGATTACAAAACATATTTTCATTGAAATATAAACTATTGTTGTTCTATTAAATAAATACATTTAGGTACCATTGGAGAGAGTAGTACACCTATTGTATTTTCATAGCTAGTGGTTTTGTCATTTAAATGTTTTTTTTTACTTTTCATGTTATGTATTTAGTATAATCTAGTTACAGAAATACTCATTGTGTAATAAAACTCGCTGCGTTAATGTTGGCAGGTGTATTTATTCATAAAAATATATTTCTTGTAATAAAATAACTTAACAGACCTGATAGAAAGGTAATTATTTTAATTTTCACAACAAATTTCAACCATCGCCACGTTATGTGACTTAGTACGGTACTAGGTAGACATAAATCAAACAAGAATAAGAGGTATAAGTAATGTTTTGAGTAGATTTTATGAAAATAAATTAGTATTAGTTGAGTTAATAATTAATTGATGGGTATTCATGTAGTAACCAAGCAAAAACTAACCTTATTAGTTAACAAAATTACCAGCTGAAATTGTACATTTATTAGTAAGAATATTGTCTTACCACGATCAAACATTATCTTTGTTGATTTTTTTTAAAGGTATAGTAACTTATTCTTTTAGAAGGTTACTTTTCATGTTAGACGTAGGAATAAAATATACCTATTAATACTTTATACTACTATATATTCAGAATTACAGAAAAGTGGATGCAACAATGCCGTCTGCAACCCCACACACATGAAATAATAAAACTTTTGTGTATTAAAGTCTGTAGAGTAATAAATTTATAAGCCAAACATTTTGCTAATTACTATATTAATTACGCCTCGTTCAAAAATATATTTAAGGAAATTACAATATGTCTATGTTGAACATATATAATACCTGTGATATATTATAGGGTCAGTCGTTCAGAAGGGTATTTTTCTCATGAGTAACTTCTTATGGATAAACAAGGGGTTTATAAAAGATTGTCTGCAATATTTTACTCTGGCTGACGTACATAAGCTCATAGAAGGCGTGGGCTTAGAAGTATTCGAAACTATAAGGTTTTTTTTTTGTGGAAATATAAAAGCTCTTTGCGGTGTACCGTCGAATTTGAATACAAACGAAATAATTTAAATGTTAATAAATGGGTAATTGTATGAAAAATTCGCTTCAATGCTTAAATAAAAAAAAAAAATACTTAATAGTAGCGTGATTACAATATTAACTAATAACAAACACATTACAATAAAATACAAAACAGTTTTGATGATACACTGCAGCTGATAAATAAACGTATAAAATTGAATATGATAATCGATTCGATAATTTGCAAATATTTTATCAAACTTATATGAAAATAAAAATAAAAATAAAAACGGAATTTGTAAGTTATATCTAATATTATGTTGATAATTTATTTATATAGTATGCTTGCTGAAAAAAAAAAAACTCTCTTGGTCATAAATATTTGGAAGTTAGAAAAAAATCAATATACGTTATATAAACGGAAACGAAAGTATTTTTTAGTAATTTCACTCAATTTTTAAAAATTTTAACTTCTCTTCGTTAACCTTATATGTTCCTTCAGTGCGCATTATAACAAAAATGTGACATGTTTATTAGATAATTTTATTTTGTTAGAATAAAAAAAACATTTAATTTTGGTGGCGCACTTTAGTTATTAAAGTAGTTGATGTCCACCGGATGTTAAAAAAGTACATTTTTTTCAGACACACCTATACTTTTTACTTTTTTACTTCTTTTTCCCAAATTCCTGATAATTTAATTTCCACAAACAAATTTCACCTATAATATCAAATTTTAAAAATAGGGCGTGTGGGTTAAAAATAGTGTATATTATATACCTATATCTATTTATTATTTGGTAACGAAATATCCGACGAAATAATATTTGTGTTATTAAATTTGTATATTTAATAGAATTAAGCATTAACGTACATTTTTATACATAATATATTATATATATATATATACAGGATGATCATTTAATCGTGAACCGCTGAATATGTCATAGGGTTTATCAATACTACACTCCACCTTTCTTCCACCTGCCCTAAACTTAAAATAACTATTCAATAACTTTAAAAATAGTTGTCCAAAACTGGTTATCGACCAGTCAAAATATTTAAAACACATTATTGTCAATTTAATAAGTTAATGAAACGTATGCTTTACCGTTCAAGTTGCTATCAATATAACCAATGTATATATATATTATATATAGTACACTGTACAACACTCATAAGTCGATGTGGAATAAATGGTTACGGCGAGAACTTATCTAGCAGTGTGGGGGGAGGTAGGGCAGCGGGTACAACACACTTAACGCTGTACACTTGTTGAGCGGTAAAGTTTGGACGTCGCCAAAGCAGCAATCACGCCGAACATTTATAATCACCCCGAGTTCCCTAGCTAGTATTTCGTTAATGGCGCACTGAATATGCCGTTACGATTCATTAAAACTTCTTAATGAGTTCTTAAATCGTCGAATAACGGCCAGAAAACGTTGCAGTAATCATATTTTGGCTAAACGAAACGGGTGTATGAAATCGCTTTTTGCGTTGTCCACCAGAGTGTTGTGCATAAGTAATTGTTCGCGTCCGAGTAAACTTTCTTCTTCGGTACACAGTGTTGGGCTGTTTCGGCCGAAATCGTCGAGTGAATATTATATTAAAAAAAAAAAGGAATTTCGAATAAATATCGGCAACGGGCACGCGATAGTTTCGAAAAACGAGTGTGCCAATTATGGGAAATGTTTTAGTTAATCAAATTGGGTAATCTTCCGAACTGAGCCGGATTCGGAATTGAACGCAAACGGATACATTTATTTCAACATTAACAATAAAATTTTTTTTTTTTTTGTTTTTTATTTAGAATTTGTACAATCTGTAATAAATGTAATTACAATAAGAACAAAGGATAAATTACATGGTAGGCAAATATATAATAATACATTGATACAGTAGACTTGTTAGAAGAGGCCAGCCAGAGCTGGTACTTCATGAGCAATATAATTTAAAAAAAAAAAAGGGGGAATAAATGAAAATCCACCGAGAAGCGACGGACCGTGGCTTTTATTATTTGTAACGCCGCAGTTATAATACTACAATAGGCTGGTACTTGTCGTTTATAATTTTTAGTGTCGCGACAATTACTTAATTTATGAAAACAGAATAAATGCCAAAGATAATTCGTTTTTACATTTCAAACTTTTTTTCTACTTTTTACACCAATTGACTCATACATTGAATGGCATCAACAGAGTGACTTTCAAAAAAAAAAAATCTAAATAGACTATGCCAGTTTTGACTGTAGAATTTCCGTATAAGTCTGCAGGGTTTAATCTTCTCTATTTGAGCCAATGTATTTATCGAGCGTGAATGGTATTATGATGTATGGTCACTGAAGTAACTGGCATTGAATAACTTTACTGCGTTAGTTTCAATATTTGAAAATAGATGACGTTAAAAATGTATATGTAACTTGAACATAGCCGTTAAAAT